CGGCGGGCGTACAGCCACCTCTTGACGAACAGGGCCCGCAGCTGCTGCCTGGTCAGGCTCCAGCCGGACAGGGGCGCCGAGCCCCTCCCGTCCCCACTCAGCAGGTCCGTCTCCAGGGGCTCTGGGGAGCAGGAGCAGGGTCAGCGGGAAGCCAGTCTTACACCGCAGACCGGGCAGGTCTTCGTTTTCCCCCCAACATTCCCAAGACACGGCGCGTCCCTGCCCTGCACAGCTCAGTGAGGTCACGGCTTGTCCCAGGGTTTATTCAGAAGCTGGTTTTCTGAACGAATTTTCTGGGCCTGTCCAGATCACCGTCTCTGTGACCTTATTTCATCTTCGCCAGGTGAGATACCCATTCTCAACTAACTTTCAGAAATTCTCCTCTTCTAGCTGCATTTGTTATTGAACGTGGCCCAAGGATGTATTGGTGTATCTCCAATACATTTACAGCAGGAAGCCAAAACAAAAAGGCAAGGAGGCCATAAACCATGCAGATAGGCACCGAGTTTCTTCAATATCAATGAAGCACTATGAAGCTCTTCAGTTAACACAAAAAAGCGGATCATTTGCGCTCGCACTGAGTTAGACAGAGTGAAATGGTCAGAAATGGAGTACTGACAACTGATTTCTCTAGATGCAGGTAAAAGTGTGTGTTCTGCAGTGGCTATTTTGTGGACAGAGACAATGTTGCCATACACGAAGGGGGTACCTGGTTTGCGGGGCTGTTTCTTTCCTGGTAGCAGCGTAGTGTTAAGACAGAAAGAGACAGCCAAGTTAAAAACAGGCAGACACACGCAGAGCAGCACAGCCAGACTGGTGGTGCAGGGGAAGGAGCAGGGGTATTACCTATCTCTGGGTCGGTGTCAGCAGGGTCAGCCTGCTGCTGGGGATAAGGAGGTTCTTCCTGTTTATCAGCTGGGACAGCATCCACGCCTGTCTCCTCTGCCACCTTCAGGAAGATCTGCACACACAAGACGCAGACTGGCTCAGTGAAAGAAAACAAAAACAAAAGATATGACGGGATTCACAGCTATATTTTCTCTCTCACTGGTATATATTAAGTTAGAGACAGGGACGAAGTCTCATGTTAAGACAGATGACCTGTCTAAACTGAAATTAAAGGCCAAGAAGAGATAAGAGATTTCAAAGGTTCAAAACTCTGATGAAGTAGACAACATCATTGAAATGTTTGTCAAATGTAACAGAAATAGACACATGGCCACAACTAAGTATATGGACCGATTTGCTCAACCTCAATTAATCAATCAGGTGTTCTTACTCTACCACTCCCTTTACCTCCTCCAGCGTGGTGTCCGAGATCCCATAGCTTCCCACGCCTAGCTCGGACAGCCGCCCATCCAGCTCTGCCAGGAGTAGCGCCAGGCTGCCATCCTGCGCCGCTGAATGTGGCACGTTGATCACCACCTCCCTGCCCACATCCTCCACCAGCCGTGCCTTCGCCACGTACTGCCTTAAGAAGGCCAACAGCCCCGGCACATCTGGGGGTAAAGAGGATCGTGTTCGGCCACAGACTGGCACACACCGAAGAGGCAAGCCATGACCGTTGCAATCTCTACTGAGCACCCTAGCATAGTGAACGCTATATTTGCACGGGCAAACGTGCAGTATGAGGGAGTGGTGGGAGCTCCTTCTGGTCTAATTATTGTTTTCTGGGGGTGTGCCAATCTAGAGATTGCGCCCCTTACCTTGTTACCGCCCTCTTAAAGAAGGCAGGGCCCAGGAGCAGTTGTGGCCGTCGCACACCTGGTGACATACCGGCCCTGCCCCCGAGACTCACCTGTGGTGCTGATCTCGCTGCACTGCTCACTGCCCAGACCCGTGTCATAGCTCCTGGCAGAGTCGCTGTCCTGCAAACAAGGAGAGAACGTGCCACTGCCTCAAATAAAGACCAAGAGAAAGGTTCAGTGGAAGACACTAAAATCTGAGTAAAACAAATCAATAATGCTCCAAACACACAGTCATGAAGTAGTTTGCGACCTTCTCTAAAGCTCAGAGATAAATGGCGTTTCAGGTAATTTTTCCCCCCCGTAAAAGGTTCAAGCAAGGTAGAGAATGTTTACTGAACGCGTCTTTGTGTTTTGCAATAAAAACGTCAGGGCGTGACTTACATTCCTGGCTGTGGCTAGGGAGAGGGTGCCCGCGCTGGCGCTGCTGGGGGGCACGCTGCTGGCTTCCCTCTTGACGACAGTGAGGTAGTAGCCGGTGCCCAGGCGGGTCTTGAGGAAGAGGGAGGAGCCGCAGCAGCAGAGCCGACCCTGGGAGATGATGGCGATCCGGTCGCCCAGCAGGTCCGCCTCGTCCATGTAGTGTGTGGACAGGATGATGGTGCGGTCTGGAGAGAGCAAGGGCAAGGGGATTAACCCTAACTCTACCTAATCCCTTCTCAGTACAGCACAAGGAAAAACAGACATTCACATTGCTTACGTTTGATGTTACAAGAGAAAACAACCCAGGTGATCTTCTTAATCGTGAGGTGCAGAAACATGCCTAAAATGTTTTTGTCTGCACAAGTATTTCTTGTGTCTCTGTATTGAGAGCTAACCAGGTATTCCCCCTATGTTGTGATTTATTTTCACAGAACAGCAACACCAGTGTGTCCCACCCTGACCTTTGCGGTATTTCAGAAGCAGGTCCCAGATGCCCCTACGCGAGTAGGGGTCCACTCCAGCTGTGGGCTCATCCAGAATCACCACCTTTGACCCCCCCACGAAGGCGATGGCCACTGACAGCTTCCTCTGCATGCCCCCTGAGAGGAGAGAGGAGAGGATTTACAACAGTGGGCATTTAACACTGAACAGAAAACATTCGAGATGCAGCAAACATTTTTTTTTAATCCAAAGGATTGTGGGAGCCAGGAACAAGCTACAGAAGTGACACCCTGCTATATATTCTTATAGAAGCGACACCTGGCTTCTTTTAAAGCAACTGAATGCAATTCTTGGATCAATTAGCTTGTAGCAACCAAATGAGCTAGATGGACCTTCTTATATAGGTACCCTATACACTCGCTTAAAGAGAATGCCTGTAAAATGTGAATTTTTGTATCAATAGACTAGTACACAGATCAAGCCTCTCAGATGGAAACCACAAGGAACAATGAGAAGCAGGAGCTCCGAGCAGAGGCAGGACAGGTTGGTACCAGAAAGGTTCTTGGTCTGTTCCTTGCGCTTGTGAGGCAGCCCCACATCCTGCAGCATCTGTTCCATCTCTGCTCTCACTTCCTCCTCGGACATGCCCTTCAGACGCCCATAGAACCACACGTGCTCCTCCACTGTCAGGCTGGATTGGAGACCGATGATGGGGGAAAAGGAAAGGTCAGTTCAGTACTCAATAGCACTGACTAAAGCAATGAAAACTACTGTTCAATATTTCTCCAATCCCACTGTAAGTGCACTGTAAGGACAAAAATGCACACAGAAAGATGTTGCACATTGCAAATTACTCTGTTCTTACAAATAAAGTTTCCTGCTTCCACCTGGTGGTTGGACTAAAAAAAGGTGTAAGCCACATTATCCATTCCTATCCAAACCATTGCAAAGGCTTTGAATCAGTGAGGACTGGTTCTGGTTCTGAAAGTCATTTAAATAATTAAACATGTTTTGAAATACATAGATTAAAATAAGAAGAACTAACCAAATTTACATAGACGATGCCAAAATTTAAGCTCAATATTGGATGAAATGTTTCATAATCATCAATAATTTAATTTATATAATGAACCATTTGGAGACACTGGTTGTGTCTTAATATCTTGAAGCACAGTAACCATGATTGCACTGACACCATGGGAACACAAGCACACAAGGCTCCCACTGAACCATGCACCCTCTGGCTATAAGGCCAGAGCTCCATGGTGCCTGATGGAGGGTTAACAGTGACTGGAGCAGAGAACAGTCTCTCAGTGACATCACTGCAAGCACCCAGGGACTTGGACAATTGTGCTCTACTGGTGAGGGAATCTGGGATACAGTAAGCTTATGACAAAAACCAGCCTTGATTTTAAGATGATTGTATTGCAAAGCCCAAATGAGCACCTATAACTGCCAAGCCACTCAGAAACTTAATCTTTCTACAGTATGTAATTAAAGTGAAATGTGGGTTGTCCATCAATGATGCAACGAGTGCTCCTTAATGGCTTTAGACTGGACCCTTACATATCAAAGAGGACGTTGTGTTGAGGGCACATGCCCAGAGTCCTGCGGATGGAGTCCATCTCCGTACGGATGTCCTTGCCCTGGATATATACCGTCCCGGCAGTGGGGGGGAACAGGCCAGTCAGGATAGACCTGGGATTGGGGAAGCAGGATTCACACAATTAGCTAAATAAGCAGAGGTATCACAGATGACAAGGTCCACAAAGCTAAAGGGAGCAAGCACTGATGCAAAAACAGGTCCCAGGTTCAAAGACAAACCATGAAATGAATCTAGCATTCACTTGCTAAAACTGATGGAAGAATCTGCATTCTTACTTTGGCAAGTAACTTTTAACATCTGTGTCATATTGCCTTATTTTAACTCAAGGCCAGTGGATTATTCTCCATCACCTTTTCATGCCACCAGTTGTAATTATAGCTCTGAAAGATGACAGTCTGGAAAAGGCCAGTGAAAGACAGACAAAAGGCAATGCAAATGAGATCAGGAAGTGTTTCCTGTCTTTGTAGGTGTGGTGGCGTTAGGATTGATATTATCAAAGTGGCGACTCTTCCCTGCTTTAATGCATATCACTGACAGTGACCCAATAATAAAAATCAAGAAATCAATTGCAAAGACCTGCTGACTCATCATACAGTATATTCCTTAACAATGGCAGACTTTGCCATTCAGTGAGACATGTCCTGAGCTCTCACATGGTGGTGGTCTTCCCAGCACCGTTGTGCCCTAGGAAGGACGTGATCTGGCCCTGGTAGAAGTTGAGGTTGAGGTGGTTGACGGCCAGTTTGGCCCCCGAGCTGTAAACCTTGACCAGGTCCTGGATGGACACCCCCAAGGGCAGGTGGCTGGGCTCTGCCTCCATACACACTAAAAACACACAAAAACAGCGAGTAAGATGGAATGAGAGCAAGAGAGAGTGACTGTGAAGAACAGATCTTATAGATTATTTCAAACAAACAGCACAGGAGCAAACAAAACCACAGTGAGGAAGTATGACATTAAGACTGGCTCGTTTCATTTAACTTTTCATGATTTCCTAAGAGTGTTCAAGATTTTAAATGAAAACACTTTGACTTTGTCTTCAAACAAGTTTTTCATTTATTCTAAAAGAAGACGGTGAAAACTCTTAGTGCGTGCTTTGACAAAGCTCATGAACTGAAGACAAGGAAGAGAAGAATCAGCAGGCGACTGAATGGAACAAAAGAGCACTGGAGTCCCTGCAAACACTCACCCTCTGTCTGGGCCTTGCTGAGGGGAGGAATGGACAAGTGCGCATCAGATGGAGTCTCACCCAGCCAGTAACTGCGCAGGAAAGGAAAGTACCAGGGTTTCGGGACCCCAAACTGACCTAGGATGAAAAACGAGAAGCTGGAGTCCAGGACATGTATTTCTTTTTAATTATACCCCAGAAACAAGCCCAGTTATAATAGACCAGCATATTAAAATAAAAAGAGTGTCAGCCAAGAGCTGCTTATTAGTCTCATAATAGAAAACCGATATTGTCAAACCATTTATATTTATTAGCTCATCCTCTGCTGTATTGGATAATATGCGATGATAAGAACTCTGAGTTACCTAAGGTAGACAAAAAAACATTCATAATTAACTGCATTTATAGGGAATAATTTAACCATGCAGAAAGTAGATCATTTAAATTAAGGATCACTGGGAACAAAGTCATTCGATGGAAATGATGAATCAGAGAGCTAGTGCTGTGCCCACCTGGGAAAACTGCCTCAATGTACCAGGTGCCCAGTCCATACAGCAGGGCATCCACCAGCAGAAGTGCGATAGAAGTGCTGAAGTTATACCCATCCCCCTCCACAGGGCTGGAGCCCAGGTTTCTCCACTGGATGCCCACGCCCTGCTCTTCATAGAGGGAGAAATATTCACAGCCAAAGCCAAAGGCCACCGGAGAGAGCAGGCTCTGAAGACGAAGAGGGCGAGAGAGAAATGAGCAGCCAGCAGCACACTGACGCAGAGCAGGAGGCGTAAAACACACGAGAGACAGAATTACAAGTCTGGCCCAACTACAGGAGGGTGAGAGGGAAAGGCGCGCTTGTGGACTCGCCGTGAAGATCCTGATGCCGAAGGTGACGTGGTCCCTCCAGGCGACACACAGGACATAGGGCAGGTAGAGGGAGAAGTAGATGATGCCCCCACAGGCGGCTGCCAGGTTGGCACGTGAGAAGAAGGTGCTGATGAGGAAGCACTGCAGTATGGTGGCCGTGGCGAAGGCAGCCATAAAGGTGAAGATCACCAGGGGGTCGCTGTAGGGCAGGATATCGCCCAGCTAAGGGAGGGGAGACGGCATGGTGTTACACACAGGCACCAACACCTGCAGCCATCAACATTTCCAAGCAGCAGGTAAAGACACCAAGGAGCTCAAGGCACACCCTGATCTCCCAGGGAGATGAACATACCTTGAGGATGAGGATGAGCAGGGCGGCGCTGATGAGGAAAGGGATGAAGCTGCTGATGAACCAGCTGAACCACAGCATACTGCTGCTCAGGCCCATAATGCGCATGGTCTCCTTCAGCCGAGCCTCCTTCTCGTGGACGACGTCCTTGATTATCATGGCGACAGAGTAGATCCAGGCCAGGGTCATGAACAGGGGCAGAGAGCGATTAAGCACCCGTAGGAAACTAAATGAAGACAGAAGACACAGATGGGGAACTCCGATATAGTGGGCAATATTCATGAGGTCATGTTACACACCTGCAGCTCCTTAAAACCGCCCTCAAGCTATATTCATCGAGCATGAACCTCCACGGTACCTTTAGGCATCCTTCCGATTTACGAAAATCCTAATGAAGCCGCGGAGTGTCTCAATCTCTCAAGACTCAATTCTGTTGTCTCCTCATGGTAACAAATGATGTGCAAGATTTGAAAACATTGACATGAAGATCTTTTTCTTGAAAACACAACCATATGACCTTTAAAAAAAAAAACATTGTACAGAAGAGGCTGCCGGGGACTCTGGTTCCCAGCGATAACTCACACATCATCCACATAGCAGGGGTAAGGCATCTGCTGCACGTGGATCCCAGTGCGCTGCTCCTGCCCGCCCAGCACCCTGGCCAGCCCCTGCTCCACCAGGTCCTGCACATACACAAAGCCACCCCGCACATAGCGCATGTCACCGAAGGGGTCTGCAGCTGGTCCCGGGTCCCAGAACCTGCAAGGGGTTAGTGATCACAAGTCAAAAGCATTAGATCTCTATCACACCTTCTACTCTGTGGCAAAAAAAAACAAGTTAACTGATTTCTAATGCGGCAGCATTTGCATGTTGTCACTAGTGTGGTCCCAGGATGACCAAATGCCCTCTTTTCTCATCTTGGTTGTGAACGTAATCTAAAGATATTTGCAGCAGTGTGGCGTAGTGGTTAGGGATTCTGGCTTCATAACTCAAAAGCTGAGGGTTTAAATCCCAGACACTGCTGTGGTAGGCTGAAGGAAAGGTCCTTCTCCCGAAACGTTCCAGTAAAATACCCAGCTGTGTAAACAGGTGCCAACCATAAGTTGATCCTGAAGCAAAAACAGTTTGTTAAGCATAAACGATTAAGGAAGTGTAGGTCCAAAATCTCACAACTGACATTCTACCAGACCGCTGTTATTCCCTTCACCAGACGGGCCAGGAGGCCTGAATGACCCCCCTCTCATTTGCAACCATTCTTATGTGCTATTTTGCACAGAAAAAAACCGCCAGGTCTATTTTTGCACATGCCATGAATGTCAGAACACTATATACTCTCAAAGACTGCCAGATTTTCTGTTTATTCTGTTTGGTTAAACCATAATGAACTCAATTTCAGGCACTAAGCAGCTAGTTACAGTATACCCAAGTCCTCCTGCGCCCAGTTGAGCTACCGTTGGCCAACAGCCCAAGCCAGGCTTAGTACCCGCTGTGATCACTGCCGAGCTGACCTGTCCTTGATCTTATTGGTACGGGTGACGTCATCGATGTCCATGCGGATCTTGTAGGAGACGTGCGGGGGCAGAGTTTCGGAGGATGGGTCGGGCAGAAGGAAGACTATGCCTGCCCAAAACTGACGGTCTTCCAGCAGGTCTAGTGCCCGAGACACCAGCTGGCCCTCTGAGGGCACGCCTTCCAGCTTGTTGAGGGAGAAGCACTGAAGACAAAGAGGAAGACACTGCCATAAGCATCACACACAATCTTTGAATATGAATGAATCACAGACAGCATCTTTAGATCTACAAAACAAAAAGCAAACAGGCCAGGTGCACAACCTCCTTTCCTCTCTGTTTTCGATCATTCCAGTTTGGCTGTGCAAGCAGATTTTAAGAGGATCCTATTAAAGAGGAACTGCACTGCTTTTTTTTATATTTTGCGGTTAGAAAGAAGTTGAAGAGTGCATTTCAAACCGCAATTACTGTTCAAAATTGACATCACAAAACAGATATAATTTTCATGTGTATGTGCAGCGCCATGTTCAGTGAATCAGAACAAGGCAACAAAAACTCCAGTGATGTGGCTTTATTACATCATAAAGAAGCAGAATGGATTAATCTCTTTTAATCCAATAGAAATATGGCTCTGGACTTGGAGACGGTTTTGCTGACAAATACTACTTACTTTTTCCAATGTGATCTCGGAGTTAACATTTCTGCAGTGAAATGTCTGCTGCACAACCTGTACTTATTTGCTTGTACATCACATTACATCCGTCATTACAGTGACTCTTGAGACGTAAGGGCCACATCATGTCACAATGTGTGGGAACTCGAATGTGGGTTTGCGACAGATAGTACTTGCACAAAGTTCGCAATTTTGTGCTTAATTTGAAATTTGTCAAATGTTTCTATACCGCCAATTAACTTACTTTGTTTCAACTGAGAATTTATAACCAGTATGAGAAAAGGAAAGTGCAGTTCTGTTTTAAAATCAAGTTATATTTAAACATCATATAGATATGATTTTCAGTTTAAACTGCAGGTTATACGGTTATGTAACAAATCCGGACTTTTCCTGTCCGTATTTTTCATGGCAGAGTGGCTGTCCTGCATGGAAGGTGGGCAGCTGGAGCTGCGTAGAACAGGGTCAGGCACCTGGATGAACTGAAAGAGGGTGGCAACGGTCTCATTCACATCCCAGTAAACATCCTGCCAGGTGGGGCCTGCCTCCACTTCCTTTCGGGCGCCCTCCGGAGGCGTAGACAGAAAGTGTGCAATCTGGGCTGCGGTCCAGGTGGAGTCGGAGTTGGAGAGACGGAGGTCTAGAAGGGTGGCTATCTCTGGTCGTTTCAGCAGATCCTGGAGCACAGGTCAGAGAGGTACAATATACAATGACTAACGTTTCCTTGGGACATTTGTCCAGTAGCAGCAAATTGGTTCACTACTTGGTATCTGAGCTTTCTCTTTTGCTCCAAGATATTCACTGTCCGTCTGCATCGTTATCACTTTGAGACTGATGTACTCTGGGCTAAGATGAACTTTGCTGGTCCTTCACCACCTGCTGTTGCTGGATCTCCTACCTGCAGAAGTCTGATCTCCACACTACTTTCCATGAACTTCCATATCTGGGGGCCCACCTCCTCCCAGGCCCCCTGCACGTCCCCCAGAACACCCAGGTCCTGGAAGGTCCTGTTCACCTGTGGGGCCAGAGACAAGACACCCACATCAGTAAGGAATCCAACCATCCATGACCATAGGTATGTTACAGCTTGAAAACCAAAGTTGGTACATGCTATTTAACATAACCAAATGAAATATAATAATTACACTCATTTACACTTTACAGGTAATGGGGATGCCTCTCCACCACCACCAGTACGCCAGTACCTCTCCGCCAGTACGCTCCCCACACATCTTCCTCAACACATGTTCACATGGCCTATCAATCATAAGCTACACATCCTGATTGGAACAGGAAGGGGTTTGCATAGGGAGACAAGAGTACGCCTGCACAAAAAGATTTAAACCACCAGATTTGAACCCCTTCCTTCTCTTTTCCCTTTGTCATCAGGACAGATTTCCGCAGTGTACCTCTCTCATGACGCGGCGCGTGGCCGGGGTGTCGGGGGTATAGAGCAGCTTGCCGACGAAGAGAGGCTTGATCCCCCTCCACACCACGTGCGACAGCGGGTTGGACTCCAGGCTCTGCATCAGGCTCTTACAGAAGGGGGCTTGGAGAGGCCAACACAAGAGACAGCATCAGGGTTTGGCTCAAGGTGGCAAGATGCACCTCTCCTCCCATCACATGCAGGTGGGTGTATAAGAGGAGCACATCTCTTCCCAGCTCAAAGCAAGGTAAAGACTCATTGCCAGACAGCTGGGCCTTAAAAAATGATTAGATTAATCAAGCAATTGAATGGCCAGACAAAATGAGAAACAAAAGGATCAGGATAAAACCTATGGTCGACAGATTTCCATTAGAGAAAAATATTTACAAGGCAACTGTAAACTTAGTGGGTTGCTAAATGTCTTGGGATTCAGGTGTTCCAAAATGTTTTTTTTTTAATGACTGAATGCCCTACAGCAGTGGAGTGTGGGTATCAAGCTTTGCTCACTGGTGGCGTTGTCCATCAGGGCCTCAGTTTGCTCGGCGTCGTTCTTGCCCAGGAAGGCCTTGAGGTCATTATCTTCATACCAGTTGAGGGACGGAATGCGGTCCCCTCCTCCGTCGGGGTGCCCGCACACAATTCGGGGTAGTGCTCCGAACCCATCCCGTGGTGAGGCTGACTGGTTCCGACTGGTCAGCCCACGCACCTCCTCCCGGAGTTCGGAGAAACTGGACAGGGAGGAAGACTGAGACAAGAAGGCATGGGAAGTCAAGCCATGCTTTGGCCCTCAGACAATCAGCTGAAGCCCACAGGGTAAGCACCAACATTACACACTATCACGTTGCATCTATTCCAACCCAAAGTCTACCAGCACAAGACTCACAAATCCCACCCAAACAAGAACACTAACAGGGTTAGATAAACCAGATTAGCCCTACAGACATGACAGGGATAGCCAACCAGCTAAATATAGACCTTTTAGGGAAGCTTCTACTCAAGATTAGTTACTTAGTTACAGTACTTAGTTAAGGACTGTAACACCGAAATCTTTTGTATGAATTCCCTGCAGCCACCCAAGGCTAGTTAATGGTCCATTTCTGACTTATTTGATTAAACACATTTGTTAAAACCGTTTTATAACAATAAAGAGCATGAAATTTTGACTCTGCAGGACCAAAGTTGACCACACTTGCAACATAACATTCCACTAGCTAAAATATCTGTAATATCATTTCATTTCTTCCTACAAGAGCAGACATCAGACGTTAGACATCCAACATCACAGTAGAAAATAAAGGCAAGGGCAGACAACGACTAAGTGAAATAATTGCTTTGCTGGACCATTTTAACACTCTTCAACTCTTCAATACTAAATTTGACCCTCACATACTCACATCCTTCAGAATGACAGCCAGTTCCTGAGAGAGAGAGCTGAAAGCTTCAGTGACCTTAAGGAACTCTTCCGGGTCAGAGCGCAGGCTCACCTGCTGTGAGGAGGAGAGATGTGTCTGTAAGAATATTTGCTAGTAACATATGCTTCTTTATGGGTATTCCAGAGGGAATGGACTCCATCATTCAGCACCCTTGGTGTGTGTCAAAAGTAACACCTCATATTATACATATAATTTGAGTTACTCACTGTTTTTATTATTCTCACCATCCCAAGCAGGTACTGTGGCAAGTAACAGACACAGTATCAAGCACATGGGTTTCAGTTTCTTTTTTGCTATGATTCACATTGAAAACACCATTTTCAACTCATGAGAAATTTAAGAAAAATGTTCATGGATTCTTTCAGCCTTAAAATTCAACACCAATTTTTGGTCATTTACACTCTTTCAGATCTCTGTACTTGAAGTGAAGGATTCACCTCCTTCTCTGCTCATGAAGTCAAGAGATATCAGAGACAGACTATTGTGGCACCAAGCCCAGCCTAAACAGACTGCATCTTTCTCAATAGTCCCTTTGTGCAGGGTTTCTGTACAAACCGACGAGCAGTACTGTGTGGAGAACTGAGAGAACATTACAAGCTCATTCAAACGTGTTTAGGTTGGTCAAGTGGAGTAGATGGCACAAAGCTATTGTTTATTAAAGAAGATCAAGGGAGAATTTAACAGAGACAATTTAATATGAGCTTTTTTCTTTTTTCATTTTGTATGGACTAGTGGTCTGAAGTTTTTTTTCTGAAAGGTTTCCATTCATTTCTTCTTAGGAGTGTTAAAAACCACTGTGTAAATTGATAGTTTTACATATCAAAACTTGATGAAAGTGTCCAATAGGGTTTATAGTAGCCTAATCCATATTTATGTCTCCTTAATCAATGAATAATTAAGGTACAGGGGATGTAAAAAAGTAAGTGAACCCTTAATTTCATTAGCTCAATTAAAGGAATAATTAGAATTAGGTATTTAAATAATAAGGAAGATCTGTGGGGGAGTTTGGAAGGCCCCACCCCATTTAATCATTCGGAAATGTTCAAGAATCTGGTCTTCGTCATAGTTGTGAGGAAACCAGTAATGCCATTATCTAAGGAAATCTCTGAGCACGTCAGAGAAAGAGGTACTGATGCTCAGCAGTCTGGAAAATCCCTAAGGGGACAGACAACAAATAGAGAAAATTCCTGACCATAGTCACACTACCTGGAAGCAAAATCTCTCTGTTAGAATAATGGACATAACCATGAATTCTACATTTTATCAGACGATTCTAGAGGAGAATGTCAGGGCATTTGGCCATGATCTGAAGCTGAGCTGAAAGAGGGACTTGCAGCAAGACAATGATCCTAAACATTCAATCAGACCTCCAAAAGAATGGCTGCAGAAAAAGAAATTAGGTGTTTTACAATGTCCTAGCCAACGTCCAGGCCTAAACCCCATGACATTCTGTGGCAGGATCTGAAGTGAGCTGTCAACGTAAGGGAACCCGCTGAAGGAGTTCTGTATGGAGGAATGGACCACATTTCATCAAAACCCCTGTGAGAGACCTATCAGGGCTTACAGGGAACATTAATTTAGTTTCCTTACCTCATGGGACACTTTGGGTTATTTGTTTCAATTGGTTAGATGTTTGGTTTACTTCATCTATTATGATTTAAGACCAAACAGCATTTTAGGTTTCATATATGTGAAGTATGGGAAAATCCTAAGGAGCTTACAAAATGTCTTGGCACTGCAAAAACATAACATTTTCTTTTCTGTGATGTGCACCTATATACTGTAAGCAGCCTACTCTTTCTCCTACCACTGCTGAAAAAGGTTTATGCCTGGATAAGCACAGAATCCAACATGGGACAACTTACCATGAACAGCTTGTTGTAGTCAATCTGGGAGAGGAACAGACGCTCAGCACTCTGCAACGTTTCAGGGGGGAGGACACACAGACTGGCCTGGAGCTCGGAGAAGGACCCCTCGCTGCCCACAGACAGGTACTGGTGCAGCAGAGAGGAATTGCACACAATGTCCTTCAGTTGCAGCCTGGAGCCTGCTAGGGACACCTGCACACACACACACATGCACATTCAAGTGCGCACAGTCAGGGAGAGAAGAAGGAAAATACCCAGGTTACAGAACACTCAGCACCCACTGGAGAAATGAAAGGCAAAGGCATAACAACAAAACTGACATTTTGGTAAATATTAAATGTTTGTTCAAGATTAAAGTCTCAAGTATATTCTTGAAGTCTAGGAAACATGAGCCTGCACTCAATTAAAACGTCCGTGTGGAAAATATGGTGCTTTTCCTTTGTTTTCCTGCTGGATCCCACAAAATCTGAATCATAATGTATCATGCTCATTTTTACCTTTGCCTTTCCAGAGAGATCTACTTTATTTCTGTCCTGAATAATAATGCCCATTGCCAGATGAAAAATACTGTCAGTGTTTAAATGTAACTGGATCTTAAACCTGTTATGACTACTGACAGTACTGCAAAGCAATGGCAGGATTCCTTTTTCCCCTAAGAAGAGTATTCTTGGCCATGGTCTTAGGCTGGGTGCAGCACTAGATGAAAGGAAATTTAGTTTTTGAATTGAACTTAATAAGCTTAGAAATACCTGTATCCTAAGCAAAATCCAACATTGGAAAATTGAAAGGGGTCATGTTTGGAAGGCACAAGTGTCTGTCAAAGCACTGGCAGCTCACCACTTGGAAACCGAGGCGCGACTTCAACAGCTGGTCTACGGTGTGGGGCGCCAGACTGGCGTTGACCAGAAGGAAACTGGAGAAGGTCTCATTGGGTCGTAGATATTCGCCAACAGGAAGATCTGTCAAATTTACATAGCATTAGGTATCGCTTTAAATGCAAAAAAGTTCAAACGTAAAGCCAGCTCACAACTTCACACACATACAGTATGTCAGCCTCATAATTTAATGTATCTACTGTATGTATGACTCATTTCCTGTATTACTAAACATACGGGGCTGTTCAGCACATTTAAAGATTCAGAAAAATCACCACCTAGTCACCAACAATATCAGACACAGTTCACTTAGACCTGTCAAAGTCCTGCTTGCTAATCACATGAGCCAGACCGAAGTGCCAGTACAGCCTGTAAAGAGAGAGAACTCTTGTTTTCCGATTTGTTTTCTCTTCCATGCAAAGAGGATTAAAGCAGCTCATAGGACCTCATGGCACCCTCCAGGGAACTGATGCCCCGGAGGGCTTAGGCACAAGGGTCACTCAAGCTTCTCTGCAATGGAAAGTACTTTCCTGACCAAAATCAGATATATATCCACTTCCTAAAATCATCTAATGCATGCTGACATTTTTCATTTTTGTTACATTAGTACATGGTATGCAATCGTGCATCATGCACCATGTTCAACATTTTCCCTCCAATACTTGTGAACAATGATCCAGTATTATTTTAAAGAAGCACTGCCCTTCATCGTGTGATGCTTGAAGAGAGACCCGCTTTATAGAGCAGTTCCCCCGTTTTCTCTTTTCACCATAACAAGAACACAACAGTGTCTTGTAGTAACAACTTAACCATAAAGTGATTTCTTGACAGTTTGCAGGTGCTCCAGGTATAGACACGGATTGCATCGCCCAATAAAAATCTATAATGTCCATATAAATCCCCAAAAGAAACTCAATGACAATTCTAGTAGCTTTTGATCAAAACGTTAGTTTTTGATTTCTTTTGTCTTGCAAGTACGTAGAATATGAAGAAAGTCCAGGTTCAAATCAAGCCAGCAGTGAAGGACTCACCTGGCCACAACTGCCGTCGTTCTCCCAGTCTGCGGAGCTCAGAAAGCACCTCCTGGAAGCTACTAAAAGCTGATTGGCTGTTCTTATGCGAGAGGATGGTTTGAGCATCAGCAAAAAGGCGGGAGAGGCTGCAGTAAAGACACACCCAGAGTGTATGTAACAATATTACAACTCAATAATGCCTGCTCCATTTCTAATTATACTGACTTCAAACCCAACAGATCAAATTAAGCTGCAACCACGTCTGTGCTTCCTTTTAAAGTGAAAAATAACCAAATTCATATCGAGCGCCGAGCTCTGTGTGTATAATATCTCTGTCAGGGAAGGGAGGACAACTCGGAAGGATTTTTTTTTTTTTTATCGCTACAAGTTACTCTAAAACAGATTACAATGCTGAAGAAAGCATCCCAGTTGTACTAGGGGCAGCCATATAGGGGAACTTCATATCTCTTCCACTGGACGTGCACAAAAATCAATCCCTCTAATAATCTAGCTAAAGAAAGTATTGATAGAATGGATAGAAGATGCGGTGTTTGACTAGCCTGGCAGTATTCACGCGCCGTGACCAGTGAAGCCATAATTTCCCACATGGAAAAGCCAGTGTTTCTCAAACCCATCCGCATCTCATGCTAAGTACGTGTGGGGGCCCCCACCCTCCTGCACTGCTATACCCACAGGGAGTTGTTGAAGTTGTCCACCAGCCCCGGGCTCTCTCCTGGGGTGGGGTAGCGGAAGCAGGGGTTGTTGACATTGCAGACAATCCCTTGGATCCAGGGCAGCACACCAGCCGAGGGCAGGGCCTTGCTGGGGAAGTGACCTGAAACACAGGACAGTCACCACAAGCACTGGTAAACAACCCTGACTGGATTTTCTTTTTTCCCCGCTTTGTGGTGAAGTTGCTTTATAAAAATAAATACAAGTCTTGATCACATGGCACATTTGATCTAGGTAAATGCACAGTGTTGTTAGACCAACACTTTTGTTAAAACCTTGGTGGACAAAACAAAGTGGGCAAATGCCATCATTCTTGAAGATCCGTGCATGATCTGCTGTCTCAATGAATCTTAGGAGCTCCTCAATGAGGCAACCAATCACCTGGCATGTCAAAGGGCTCTTAACCATGTGACTTCATTCAGGCATGCATAAACCTACACTGGGTCACAGCAGGAATGCAGCATGTCTAGTTATGGTCTATCTGCCAACTTAATGTAACTTTACTCCAATGCTCATAACCCACACCACTCAAAATGCTGGATACAGAGACAGTGGCTTCTCGAAGTCTTCACTGTGTTCCTCTTCCTGCCCTGATTTAGTGTGCAGGGGCTTTGTTACTAACTGTACATGGGACCAAAAGTTGCTTTTGCTTCAGTAATCAGCTTATCTACTTGTGTGCTGATAGATGGGGGAAGGGAGAACGGTGTGCACGGCCAACGTGTGTGAGCAATCACTACAGGAAGGAAGTGTGCAATCTGGAAACACAAACTGCAAAACGTAGGACTCTGAGGAACTTGCTGACTTTTCTTTAACCCAGTTAAATAAATTGGAGAGCCTGCAGACTGCATGGTCTGGAATCCGATATCCTTGGCATAGACTTGTTGTTGTCCTTTCCAAGCGAAGAAAAATAATTCCTCTGCAGAATTAAAGTCAAAACCCACAAGGCACACACAAACACGCAGAGCACTCACACTCGCTCTGCTTGAAGGGGGGGTGAGACCGGCGCACAGAGATGAGGATGAAGAACAGGAAGAGGGGCCAGAGCAGCTCGATTACCAGCTGGACCTGGAAGACAGAGAGGTGATACCAGCATGAACACACACGTCTCCCTCCAGGCGTGAGGTCTGAAATGAGGGAACAGGAGCAAAAGGTATACCGGAACACAGGAAAGGTTACAAACAAGAGAAGGCCCATTCGACCCTTCTTGATCATTTGTTTGCTAGCTGCTACCTAGATCTGAGGATCTTATCCTGCTGTTCCTTGGGGGAAAAAAAGCCAAGGTATCAACTTCCACAACATGGCTGGGCTGCTTGTTTTAGACTCCCACCACTCTTTTGTGGGAAAATACCTCCTGTCCATTTGAGTGACATGTCAATTTGTCAGAGAGGGGAGACCCACACACACTCTTGGACTGCAAAATCTAAGGACTAGATTAAATCAAAACATCAACACACCAGACAGTCAATAAATTATGCCAACCACAATATATACAGTAAATATATTCAAAGCAGTTTAAAGATATTACAAGTTTTTTCCTGTTTCCCCCCCCCCCCCAACATGCTTCCTGGTACTGTAGGTAGCTCCCCTCACCCTCCTCCTCCGCCGGTAGGTGATGTTCTTCCACAGCAGGAGCCACAGCTGAGTCCGGAAGCTCATGGTGCACTCGGGGGGGCTACCAGGTCATTGCTGCCCACTGCCACTGCTGCAGGCTGCAGAAGAGACACCCGCTCCGTCAGCGATGACAGGGCAGACAGACACAAGGACACGCAGCCCTGCTTGCAACCCTACAGCGCTGGTGCTCTCTTACACTCACACTTGCAGGTTTCAGAAGCACCATCAATCCCCAAGACAAGGTAATGGACCCGAGTAAGATCGGTAAACCAAATCTTTCCATAACACCACGACTTTCCAGGATCTAGCAGGACTGCTCCAGGGAAAAACAGTCGAGATCAACAGCAAAATGATCGGCTCTAACATAATCATGTTAAGAAAGGTAAGAGCATTACGGAGAGTGTGATACATTCCCTCCATTATGAATTCACACCCCCTCCCCAACACTACAATCTCAGTCTCAAACAATGTAAACTAACTCTATTATCACCTGTACCACCACCATATGTCTTCTTTGTTGGTAAAATCCTTCACATAGGGGGATACCTACTGTAATTGATGGCCTTTCAAGCTGTTCTTGGTGTTTAATCGTCAGCTTGGCAATCAACATCTCAACCTTCAAGAAAACTCATTGGCATCTACAAGACTGGTAAGTGGGCTTTTTGGTTTAGGTTGATGGGTTAATGCCCCCAACAAAGACAAGAAACAGTTCCATTGTATCTGGCAGACACAATCAACCTCAAGGCTGCCTGGTACAAGTGTAGCGGAGCTAGTTTGGGCACAGTGATGTTATTGCCCTCCGTGTGGGCAGCAGGGACCTCAGCTGCCTGGGCTGAGGGAGGTCTCCTTTAGCTCATTCGAGTGGTTCCCTGTTGTGTTACACCAGAGATCCGGGTTCGGGCCAGGGTGTTGCGGGACGAACCGGCAAGGGTACGAGCCCCCGCGGAACCACAACAGTCCCACAAGCAGCTGCACAGAGCTGTCTTGAGGCTTCCCTGTACATCCAGGACTGTTTTCCCATTTCTCTAGCAGTATAACAGCATCCAACAGACACAGATCATAGAAGAACAGGGCCCCTGCCTCACCAAAGGGAGACAGTTAAAACTTCAGCTATCCCACACAGTGCCTCAGAGTTGCAGTCTTTTGTTACCACGGCCGTTTTCCTGCCTTAAGAGTTACAATTTGAATAAAAAATAGACTAGAGCAGGCTCTGAATGAGCCCCATTCCCAGGGGTGCAGACTAAACACTAGCTATGTCATAGTCTCCTCCCCAGCACATTCCACTTGAGAACAACTCACTTTGTAGAATAATGTGGGCTACCCTAAAGACAGGAGTTTTGAGAAATGAGAAACTATAAGAAACTGAAATGTCATTAGAATTTATTACAGATTTAGGAACATCTGCAGCATTTAAAAAAAAAAAAGTTTTGTGCAGCGAACCTGCAAAACGTGGGATTATTCTGAGATTTCCCATTTTCAGTGTCAGCCACAATTAGCTTTTGCCTTATTCCTTTGTTTTATTGTACACGCAAAAGAGACTGCTTTCCACACTGGACACTGGGCTGCTGTGGGTCTCCCTGTGCTCACTGCATTCTGGACTCTGCTACTGCACTGTTGATATTCTGAATATAAAAATTTGAGCAGTGGATAAATGCAATTGAGCAGCTTGGGACCCAAACTCCATTGAACACAATGGCAATCTGGTACCTGATGACTATAGATGGACTTTGCACCCAGATGGCAAGGAGAACAATCTGTGTTAAGGAAAAAAAAAACATGTAAAATCCACATCATGGGCTTTCTTGGGCCCCTAGTGTCCATAATCATATTTGTCAATGTTCACCTCTTTGGAAGTACACAGTTAAGCGTGCTATGTTTGCATCACGTTAACTTACAGACACCGTTTTACAGAGTTTGTAACGCACGTTGATTACATTTTCCGAGCTGGGCTTGGCTTTTGAGAAATTTCACTACAATGCAAGTATTGTCTGACGGCCAGACGCCCACTACTGTTCTACACAGGCATAACGTGTTTGAGCAATTACACAACAGAAAAGTTAACTCGCTCGTCTATGCAATTCACATATACATAACACGAAAACGTTGAGATAAGGATGAACGGAAACAACTATTTTTAAAGTCACATCCATAACACACAGCCCCAGATAACACACCAAACGTGACAGCTACCTATAACTTAAGCCCGGAAAGGGGCAGACGATAGAACTACCGCATTTTAATTGACAGCTTATGCGAACTCACAACCTTTACCTCTGCTAAATTCGAAGACACGAGGGTAATGTTGAAATTACAAATCCGCATAATTGCTTCAACCATCAACAGCTCCTTGCATTTTCTTCTGTTTAGGTTAAGTGCGTGTAAGGAGAGCCAGGATGCTGATAAAATATTCAACAGAAACACTGGGCTTGCCACCAGAAAAAAGGAAACAGGCACCGTCCTCTTTTGGGGCCAAGACAGCGGTTCCTGACTTTTCTTAGACACCCTTCCACTTGTTCCTTTCGTACCTGTTGGCAGATTAAATGTCCAGGAGCGCCGGTTTCTCGCCCCTTGACAGTTTATATGTCTGGAGGTGCTCCCGGCAGGTCTCAGCTGCTTCCTTGACAGCTGCGCCGGCCCGAGCACCTCTTTCCTCTTGCCCCCCGATTGGCTGGCAGGCCGGTCCTTTACCCTGCCTCCTCAGAGCCCTGATTGGTTGGCTCCCCCTTGCACGGCCCTCTATTTCGGGCACCCGGCCGACCCGATTGGCCAGAGCCGGCGCTTGCGGCGAGAGTTACACAAGGTGGGATGACAGGCAGGTACCCTGCAGGAGACCGGTCTTCCTAGCGCGGCGCCTCTGCATCACCTGCCCGGGACCTACAGTAGGCTGGACAGGTAGCTGGATGTACTGTAGTTGCGCAAGCCTTTTCCCTTATCAAAACTTTAAAACTAACTAACTCAAGTGGCAAGCGAGTGGCATATATTTTTTTTGGGGTTACTAGTTTAATTTAAAAGCTTTCTTTGTCGTATGTTTTTGTTAAACAGCTTTCATACACCACATTATATATATATTGTAGCGCCACGCAGCCGAATCCGAAACTGTTACTATATATATATATTAATTCAATAGCAGAAAGCCACCACTAGATATGTTTTAGGTAAGACACCCGTTCATATTAAATATTAAATTTTTCATAAAGTGTATCCTGTTAAACATGATCCAGAATCAATCTCGAATTAGATGATCACGGTGTATTTTGTAACATGAATAAAGAAACTATACTTCATGTTTTCTATCAATGTATTCAAACCAAAATGTTTTGGAGCGACTTGGAATATCCCGTACTCACATCTTTACATATTAAGATTTCTATTAGTGGATTTGACGCCTTACGTTGTTTAACACGCCCGGCTATGGATAAAAAGTTTATAATTATAATAAATCTACTACGAATTATGGGGAGATGCCGTATCGATAAAATGAAATGGTCGGAGTCTTCTCCAAATAGTAATCGATTAAAATAAAATGGTTTTGCATGTTAAAACTAAAACATTAAAAATAAGAAAGCTAAACGAAGCAGTAACATTTCACGTTATGCTAAGTTATTTCTGTAAACCGAGTACCACTGTTCTTGTGATGTATGTATTCATTCGAGGTTATTTAATGTTGTTTTCTGTTAATGGTGATAAATATAGCATTACAAAATCAGTGGGGAGAAGAACAGTGATGAATCCAATTAGGAAATTAAGGGCTCAGATGGAAAAACATCCAGAATGTTTCTGGCCCTCAAAGACTGAATTTCCTATACGTGCCGAACTCCGCATCTCATTCGTATTTTTTTAACCGAAAAGATTTTAGAATAAATAGCCACTGCCAAAGGAGTCTTATTTGAAGTTGGGAGGAAGCAGGAAGCGCAGAACCCGAGGAAACCTCAGCCTCCAGGCGTTTCCTGCGGTTTATCCCATCCCTACAGTGGAACTGGAAGACGCGAAATGCACTGGCGAAGGTTAACGTTTATGCGAATACAAGGACTTTGCGATCAGAATGCACCGCCTTTAACCTCCTGATCACAACAGGGTAGTGACGATTACAGACCATTTTATTCTGCGATGTAGAGTACGCATTTTAAGGCTTCAACATTCGTGTTCTAACAATTAGAATACCTTGGCAATGCACCCTAGATGTTCAGTTACTTTCATGGAGTGTATGGCCTTCACGTTACATATCCCTTTTCCAAAGGTCTTACAGAATGAGAAGTTTTGATGTCAAACAAAATCCTGCAGCTACCCAGCCCGTTTGAACAAATCCGTCTGTCTCCCACACGGTGGCAGCATTAACCGATCGAGTTGCACGGAGGACTGCGAATCAACTCGTCAACCCGGCGTAAGGACACCCGTGAGGTCATATTAATAAACTGGCAGAGATTTAAAGTCGTTTCTCAAGCGCCAGAAAATGTTTCAAACCGAATCCTCTCGGCTCATCAACCTTGTCGACCCTCCTCAGCTAAATGACTAGTTTTTTAAAAAAGAAATCGCAAAAATACCAGTTGCCCCACCCCAAGAAAAAAGGTATAACGGTTAAAAAACTGACTCGGACACAGCAAGGGCTCATATATACAAAATCTTTATTACAATTGGCTTCCTGCACTCCCCACTCCCTTGTCCAAGTGGGTCCCTACTGCAAACATTTAAAAACCAAAACTTCACCGGAAGCACAAGGTCAAAAGAAACGCAAGAGAAGGACATCTGGTAACGTCTCCTCTTCCCCATCGGATGCTGGCAGTGACCAGCAGCAAAAGAAGACAAACCACAAGCTTCAGGGAAAAAAAAAAAAAGTTTAAAAAGGATCAAAAAAGTGTTCACATTATGCTCGTGTCTGCTTACCCCATCTTCCATCTGTTTTGAGTTTTAGCCCTTAAACAACATGGGAGGCAGACAGGCGTAAGAAAATAATCCAGCCGATTCCAGTTCAGAATTTGGAATGTTCAGAGTTGTACCTTGGAATGTTTTCCTTGGATTGGCGAGACTAGAAAGCACGCAGAGCCCAAAAGCCCAGGCAGCGATACCGGCTAAGCTTTAAAAAAAAAAAAGCTAAAAAAATTTGGTAAACCCTGCTCGAGAAGGGTAAGTAACACTGCTGAGAAGACAGGGGAAATGTATCAAATCTGGACACTTAATCTGGGTTTTTATTTTTAATACAGAACAGCCAGTTTGAGAATAGCTGAACTCGGGCAGAAAAATCTAACTTCGCTTCCTTTAGACTGCAAAACTCCGCCGGTTCCACGCCCAGACTGGTCAGCACACTTCCCTAATTATAATCAAACTGGCTCCTGGTTAAGGTCCAAAAATTTATTTTGTGATCAAAGTCAAACAGAACAAAGTAAGACAGCTGATTTAATTCCAACTACAGCCATAATGTTATTCACAGGAATGTTAATATAACCTTCATTACTAACAGCTCCTCACCTTCAAACCAATAAATCAGACTCCTAACAGGCCAATCTCTTAATCCCCAACAGAATGCATTCTCTCTCATGTTTCCTTCAATGTTAAAAACTGGACTGCTTTAGGAAAATCCACAACGATCTAAGATTATTTCCACCACAAATTAAGCTTTTTCAAGAATCATTTACACTCTTGATGCAGTGACTGAACCACAGCGGAAATGAATGCTTTCATTTCAAGTCAGGAATGAGAGAAGGACTGGAATTGGAAGGAAAAATAGGCCTCACCCCCTAGGAGTCTAGTAGGGATTCTACAGACCTAAAACAAGCTTAAAAAGCCAATCTTGGGGAGTCATTTAAAATTGAGCTCAGGATAAAAAAATAAAATAAGATATCCCTTGTAAAAACAGCAGCAAATAACACAAAATATTGAAGAAAAATTAAAAATCAAATCAAGGTAACTTCCATTGTAACAGAAGCTGCAGCAGTGGTCTGAGAAGAGGTAAAGAGTAAATACAGGGGTAAGAGTTCCATTAGTTCTAAAAACCTCTACAGTAAGACTGTAAACATCATTTCAGGAGGAAACAAAATGATGAGCCTAATTAAAAAAAAAAGGACAAATTCAGGACAGATAAGAATATAATTGTAAATCGAGTGGGGGGGGGGGGTTAATTTCTGGAAAAGAATATTCTTCTTTGGGTCCCCCGTTATCCTGATAAACATCTGGAATGAATTAACGCGCTGACTGTCCTCTCTGGGTCCAGTTGTTTCATGTTGCTTGGCGAGTGGGTGACCGGGAAAGAGGGGTGGGCGTCAGGGTTAAGGTTGCAATCCTTAGGGAATTATAGGAAAGCTGAGGGTCATGGGAATAGGACAGAAAAACAACTCCACATCTTCCAAGTTTACGGATAACAGCAATACAACGTCAACTGTGGGAGAAGGTTTGTGTTGCCGACAAATTGTCCAAATGGATTTATGCTGTAGCCGACATCACTTGATCTACCAATTCAACATTTCTTAAGGTTTTTTTGCATGCAGAAGGAGAAGTCAACCTGCAGCCAAAGCAATAATGGGAACCACAGTTCATCTGGCAGGGAGCAGCAATTGTAGAAGGCACTGCTGATAGCCTTCTGAGTAAGGACTTCAGCTGAGATTCCTGGGGCGGGGGGCAGTCCTATGACATTCTTTTCTAATCAGAAACAAACAAAAAATCCACTTCATCAAGGCTTTGTTTTGAAGCACACTATCCAGATAGGGGAATTAAAAAATAAAAAATAAAAAGCTCTCCTGACATATTCCGGCACATCACTCCCTCCCTGCCCATACTCCTGCTCTCCTCGGCTTCTAGTAGTCCTGCCTGTCTTCTTGGTAGCCCTCATCCTGGTACTCCTGGCCAAACCCACTCTCTGCCCCGTTCTCTCCCCCCTCGCTCTTGGGGCAGTACTTGGCATCGTAGATCTGCCGGCCCAGCCCGAAGTTCTGCCCACTCTGGCTGGCGCCCTGGTTGTAGCCCATCTGCAGAGACATGGTGCTGTTGTCACACTTGTCCGTCCCCAGCTTCTGGTCGTAGATGGCGCGCCGGGTGCCAGGGGCTGTCATACCAGCCTGTTGGGAAAATGACAAAAAAAAAAGATCCTGGGTCTAGTTTTACTACCTTTCACTTAATCATTAAGAAAAGGTGGCAAGATCTCCAGCCCCTCTTTGATTGGGGAAAAAACATCCCCCCTTGAATAAACCCCAGTGCTGGGTCAGGCAACTCCAGTCCTGGGGTGTCACATTCGTTTACGGATTTGTTCCATCTCAGACCTGAATGAGTTACTTTAGTTAAGGGTAACTAGAGTTCAATTCAAATGTCTTCCAGTTCTTAAGCAGGTGCTAATTTAAAGGACCCTCTTAGACCTCGTACTGGAGGAGCAGTTCCCTGTCCCAGTCATTCAGATTTCCATAACCTTCCTCGTAGCAGCACAAGCCCCTGCTGGCCACTGAGCTACAGTATAATCATGAAGACCCCAGCTGCAAAACCCACTAACACCGACTCAGATCCTAGCTGGGCTTCAAGCGTTTCAACAACTGACTGTTCACAACTGTTAGTTCCATCTGCGTACATCTGTGCGCGACAGGCATTGTAGTTAAGGATGCCGTGAGGCAGCAGTGCTTTGTTCACGAACGCAGGGAAAACTTGTGCTCTCATTTTCAAAGTGTTTTTTGTGTTTGTTTTGTAGTTGCTGTTCATTATGGGGTCTTATGGAAGTGAAAAAGATTCTTTAGGGTAATGGTCAACAACAGTATGCACATCATTCTAGCTGATCCCTTGGATAGCGATCTATTATGAAAAAATGAAAAACGTAAATATTTCATTAATTATTTTACAGCTCTAGTTGGCTTATGTGAGTAGAACTGCGTTGTTGACTAAGCTTACTATAATGTTCTGTATGGTATCATGTTTAGAGTGGTTTTTGAGTGAACTTGTCTTCGGTTCAGAACGGGGTGGAATTTTTCCCATAAGGAATAATGGAATTTATATTTTCGATTTATGATCTTCAGATTTTCAGTAATGAATTGGGTTCGGATACTAGGGTATGACTGTATGCGAATTTAGTAGGTACATTTAAAGGGAAACAGGTCGCAGATCAAAAGAAGACTTCCTTTTAGTATATTCAGAACCATTTTCACTTTGCACAGATCCCCTGTGATGCATGTTCTCGTGCCATTGTCGGCTAAGATCGTGCAATGAATTTTTTAAACAAGGGTTGAATGGAAAAGAAAAAAAGTTTAAATATTTAATTTTATTTTTCACACACAAAGCCTTTCATATCCCAGATGTTGGAACAGCACTCGATCCACAACTAAGGTCCGAAATTAACTGAGACGTTGAAGAGAAAGTCGGCCTGTGGAGGCAGTGGACAAGACAAGTCGATGAGAATGAATCCGTTTGCTAGTTCCAGAAATTAAGAACTATTTCTTGGGAAATGTGATGAAGGTTAAGAGTTGTGCACAGCAGGGCCAAGAGGCTGAGAGCAGTGCCTGTATGTGCAGATTTGAGCACAGGGAGGTGAAGCTGATGCAATGGGGCAGGACAGCACTCACCTGGCTGGCCCCCTTGTTTGTGCCCATCTGCAGGCTGATAGTGGAGTGGTCCATGGGGGGTGGGATGTGAGCCTTGGGGTCATACAGGTGCCTCCTGGTTCCGTAGGCATTCATGCCCGCCTGGCTGGCACACTTATTGGTGCCCATCTAGAAGAGGAGAGAGAAAAGGGAACATAACTCATCTCTCCTGGACTCCTGCGTGATCCCATTCCATCTGAGCTCTCTAGAGCTGAACACCGTCAACCACTTTCAATGGTCAGTAGGACATACCCACCATCTCCCGGCCCGTACCTGCAGCCCAATGACGCACTGTCCAGCCTTCATCTTCTCCTCGTCAAAGGCCCGCTCCTGCTTGTCCGCGTACTTCACCCCGATGTCCACACAAGACTGCAAGCCCTTCGTCTTCGCCTGCACAGGAGGTCGTTGGAAGGAAGGTTAATAGACTGGAGGCGGCCATTCAGTGCGTCTAGAAATTCCAGAGTCAAGGCAAAGGGCTGTGGTGTGCCTGTTATCTGGGCTCTAGCATGATTATTCACTGGCACTTAAGCACAACGTTGAAATGCCAATGATTTGAGGAATCGAGTAAGTACCAAAGGTTGCCAAAACCACCTCTGGAAGCACATGGATAATTATCCACGACAATAAGCGTGTGCAACACGGGGACCACGACACCAAGCCTAACGTCATCCTCACCATGCCAGCGAGCGCCAGAAGAGTGGTCTGGACCTGGGTCATGTTGCCGTTCTCAAACAGATCATTGGCTTCGAAGATATCGTGAGGCTTCAGTCCGTACACTGTGATGGCCTTGATGAAGTTGGACAGGTTCTCCAGCTGAAACGGGCCATCGGAAAAGCAGAGCATGAATAATTCTTCTGAAGCAGCACCCGGATTTTGCAATGGGACAAAAAGAAGGGAAATCTGAAACAATTCTGCCATTCATGGGAAAAAAAGATAATCACTTGTGCATCGAAGCCATGCTGGCCCTGAATGAAGGACAGACCATGCTCTATAAATGGAAACTGCTTGTGACAAAAAGCAGAGGTCTTGTCGTCACTGCACATCAACCCCAGTGCAAAAAAGTAAAAACAGCTGCATCTCAAAAACATAAGCCTTTTCAACAAGATGATAGATGGCAGCTGAAAGCTTATTGATCTAGTAAAGACAAGTTCTAAGGCTACCAACACCAGATGGGAAGCCACAGCAAACACTCATCTGAAACAGATCCTTAACCCTCAGCCCTGATTCTGTTTACAGCTTTTCACGCCACCCATCCTAGCCTTTGTGTGGAGCCTGAAAAGCAGGTTGGCTTGGCATCCCACTAATTATGCAGCAGGACCGAAAGAAACTTAAAATTTCAGGCTCTTGAATCGCCGCAAGACAAAATTCCTAGGGAACTAAAAACTGCCCTGGCACTAGAGGTTAAAAAGAGAGTAAGACACCTGACAGCAGATCACCCCTGCATTAAAAATAGTTTAACAATGGCTAATGATGTGACCCTTCTCTCTACAACATAAAAGAGTTAAGGATGCCTGTTTATAACCAGGAACACCAAAACACTGCAAGGGATAGGTAGCGTACAATTACAGAAACCTTTTTGGTTGAATCATAGAAAATTATAACATTGCAGAAAGTATTTGGATAGTCTATTTTAAATCTGCAAATTCAATCACCACATGCTATGAAGTCTAACCTTTAAGTAGGGATCAAGCCTATATGACAGGAAACTATTACTCATCTGTATGAAAATAGGCACAATCACAATTGCCGTAGCCAAATGGTATTGTTCAACAGATATTCAAGGCTCCTTAGCCCGGTCATCATTGTTCACAACATGCCATGAAAGATTGTACTTGGTTAAAGGACAGAATAAAGACATTTGCTGTGCTGATCTCAAACATCACAATTAAACAATGAAATGAAACAAACAAGGCACAAGAATTCAAGCCGTTCTGTTCCAAGATGCCAACTTTCCACCTCGGCAAGATTTCTTTTCCCCTCAAAGGTCAAGCCTGGTTTCCGAAATTTACAAACTCATTTCCTTTATAAGCAGCTGCTGCTGCTCAGAAAGCCAGCACTCTCATTGTGGCAAACAAGGACATTCTACTTTGGTGAGAGAGAGCTGGATAAAAATAAACATTTGGGCTTGATGATAAAAAGGAAATTTTGTATAATGTGGCTCTGAAGTCCAATACGAGGAAAGTCAATTCTTGAAGTAGACAAAGTGAAATTCTCCTTCACTGGGAAAAGAACTGAAGATGCATCAGGTTAAAAGTCTGCACTATAAAGCTCCATACTGTAGAACAGAGCTCTGAGCAGGATGCATGACGTGTGGAATTGTCTATGAGCAGTAAGGTGGTTGTGAATTAAACTTCTTATTTTTAATTAAAACAAACAGCAACTATTATTAATGCAGCTGGAACCTCTACATTAAAGAGAATGAAATAATCTGTGATGTGGACATCCTTCTGTTACATCCAACAATCCCACTCTCAGCAAGTTTCTGTCCAGTTAGTTCTAATAAGGATCACCCTGTAAATATTACAGTCGATAAGAAGCCCTCTTTTCAAAATAATGTACTTAGTCTGCACAAGTGCCACCAATGAGAACTTAGTACATAACTACTATGTCCTGGGTTGGTAATAAGAGTTACAGACAAAGATCCCAACTCACCTGATGCCAGTTCAGAGAAGATTGATTTATCTTCCTCACAGAGCCGGGTTGCAGTTTGTTGATCAGCCTACAGTGGATTAAAAAGCAAAAACTAAGATGAAGTGCTATAGAATAAGTTACATTTTCTCTTGATTTTTTGGCAAGCAGAAGAACTGGCAGATTCTTTTTGGATTCTGGCAGGTTTTAACTCAGCGATAGGATGCATGAATGAGCACTTTTTTTCCCCATTTGACTGCTGCTGTATGCTCCAAGATACATCACTCAGACTGCACCAGTAGCATGCCCAGCTGTATACATGGTGTAAGTTGTTTTGGGTGAAACTGGCAGCTACAGATTGGCGTTTATGTACCAGCCTGCACTCACTCCACTGTCACATTTGCCTGGACCCCAGCAGCCCTACGTACTCGCAGAGAATGATGCCATTCTTCAGACCCTTCTGGAAATCCTCCCCGATGGACCTCCCAGTCACTTCCTCGATCCAGACCCGGAGCTCCTCCTCCTTCTGAGGGTCATACTTCTGGGCAATCTGCAGAAAAGAGAGTGATTTATGTAGCCGGGCTCTCCAGCAGCTCTGAGAAGTTGGCCCCCAGCGATCAGCACGGTGAAAACCACCACATTCGATAGCGCGCCGCCTGTGCTGTTTGAGCCATTGAAAGTAGTGTCTTAGGTGCTCTCATTCCTGACATCACACCTTTTTTCCCCAGGGACGCGACGCCACTCAGGCCCCCTACATTGGCTCTGCACAAATGATGCTTTCATGGAGCACTAATGAACGCAGCAGGGATCGTTATTTGCGCTGTCTGAAGGGGAGGGGCAAGTTCTCAGAGCTCTTCACCAAGAGCAGAAAAAGATGAGTGAACAATTGTTCAGTAAGAATTTGAACTTTGCTGAAAGTGACAAGATCATAAATTGATGCATACGTCAGGTTGGGTTAACAGGAGTGTAGCAGACATGTCGAGTTGATATTCTTGTGTTCTACCCAAAATGGCAGCCAAACATCTTCCTCCACTAAGATCTATTTCTATTTGGTACAAGACTCTTGAAGCCTGACAAATTTCTCAATCCTGCAGACCTCATGGTCCTGTCCGGTTTTGGCTGTTTATTTGCTCTCACAGTCAGAGATGGACACACCATCCCCCTCCAGCCTCACATTGCAACAGGCGGTCTTCAGCACCGCAGTGCATCCTGTCGATGACATCAGTGCATCCTCTTCACCTCTCCACACAGGATGTAGGAGGGTAGAGCCTAGGAGCTCAGCACAAGGTGACATGTATCGCAAAGGCACTGAGCTCCAGAGGAGTGATCTCTGCACCCCACTGCCCCCTAATCCTGGCAATCTTGCTTCTTCAAGAGACTGGGAGACAGTAACTGATGCTAAGCCAAAGAACAAACATGGCTAATGCATTTCCTATAAAATAAAAATGACTTCTACATTTTGTACTATTACTAAACTGTAGGCAGCCACACCCAAGTTAAAACCCCAGTTCAGTTAAGTCATATAAAGAATACTGGCAGCTTCAATATGCCCTGCGCTCCAGTAAGTTTGCAGATGCAACCCCATTCACCCTTACTTTCACAGTGCTAAATCCTCAGAAATGTGAGCCTTTACCCTTTCATGACATATGGCAGCAAGTTGATCTGAAGAACATATTCTAATTAATTAGCACTAACCTGACCCGTTTTTCTTGATGCACAGAAAAACTTCCAGTAAAAGAGCCAAGCAAGAAATACCCAATTTTGTAAAGGCCTTAAACTTTTCAGAAAGTCAAAATATGGCACACTTTACAATCGCTCCTCAGAAGGAATCAAATTTGAGTGATGTCAGCTGTATCAGGTGTCAGCTTGGATTGTAGTCTCTTTTACATGCCCTAACAGAACACACATGGAATCTGCTGTAAACAAAATCCTTCCTCTTCCTCAATTCCTCCAACACGAAGCAGTACTACTCTTAAGAAAACACTCAGCCATACAAAGCGGCCTATAACAATAGCAAGCCACTCCAACAGGAAGTTAGTTTGCGGCCTGCTGCATCACTTCCTCTTCTGAACATTAATAACAGGTGTGGCAGTGCTTCGCCCGCGACACCGCCTTTTTTATCCTGAGCTTCCATGCTTTCTGGCTCCAACACTGCTGGGTGTTGCCGAGAGGAGAGAGAGAGAGAACTTGACAAGACGAGGTTCCAGTCCTCAGCTCAGTTGCAAAGATGCTGCGCTGAAAGTTTCAGAGTGTCCACACAGCTCCTCGGTGGTAAAACGCCCATGCTGGAGAAATCGTCTACGATACCTCCCGCACTCCAGCCTCACACCGTGACCACATTCATTCTGAAAGATTATGCCTCCTGAGAAGAGCGGTCTTAAGCCTGAAATAACGAGTGCTGACCAGCAATTCTGAAACCACTCATTTAAAATTAACGTGTAAAAAGAATGAGGTTGGAAATAAAGGTCCTAGACATTCTGCTAACTCCAAGAGGCTGACAGTTCAGGTTCTATACAGTCTTTGGCAGTGATATCAACACAGGGGAAACATGCACTGACTAGAAAAATGAATCAAGTAATTATAAACCAAAAGGTCTTACTTTATGGATGTAATAGGGCTAATAGCTTCATTAGTTTATGTTTTAGAACCAACACCAATGGATATAGTGTATGAAAAAGAATTTTTAGATACTTCAGACTTTAAAAGATCCTAAAATTGCAGGTAGCTTGTATTCATAGAAATGCATGCAAGTGGATTTTGAACCATTTTCTCAACATATAAACATTTAATGAAACATCACGCATGTTTACAGGAAAGCTATATGAGCTAAACGGCCTCATGTTGCTTGAAACCTTTTTGGACATCCACATGTCCACTACAGAATCAGAATTATACAAGTGTTTCTTTTCTGACATATTTGTAGAAGACACGTCTAGGCTCTTGTATGTGGAATTATGTTGTAAAAAAAGACTAACGTCCACTTGTAGGCCTGACAGACCCTCCTGCATAGCGGCCTACCTACACGTTTAGTGAGCACTGAAACACCAGCGTTGTGCAGTGATCAATGCTTTAATGCTGTGTGGCACAAAAAGGCCACAGCCACTTCGGAAGAAGTTGGTGGGTTTAATTCTTTCCTCATGAAGAGGATTTTTAGCTTTAGCTGCACTCACAGAGATCAACAGTGGTGTGCAAACAGAGCAGAACACCTGAAATCAGTTTTTCAGGAAAAAGAAAATACAGGTTTACTGCTTGCCAGGAATAGTCCTCAAGAGCTCCATGTACATTAACCAAGCAGCAAATGACAAGGGTAAACATCAGAGAAAAAGCTAACCAGGGATTACCCTAAAGTTCCAAAAACGCTTTTACTGGATTTTTCCCAGCCATTCGGAGAATTCCCCTACTTCTGCTTACTCATTTTTTGTTGGTTTCACTTTGCACGTGTTCCACAAATGAGTGTAAATCCTCTATTATACTGTAGATGGTCTCATTTGCAGTGCTGTACAATAGAAATGCAGTTATGGACTACAGAATACACTACACTGTACATCAGTCTCTAAATGATGGTTCCTTTAAACCTCAACTTACCTCAACTCAAAAAAGGAAGTGCTCTCCCCTTAACTTACTCAAATTTCTGTTCTCAGCTCTGCCTGAGGTTCTCACTTACTGTATACCTTACTGTAGGTTCTCTACAATTCCAAATAAGCTACACAACTTTCCACTTGCTTTGCATTGTATTTGACAAATTCCATCAGATTCTCTTACGTCCTTATCATACAATTTGGTTAGAAGAAACTACCTTCCTAATTCTCCATAAATGCTGCAAGTACACACTACATATTTAGAATAAACTCATGGTCTTTTCCCCCCACCAGTTAACATAGCTAACCGAGAAAAGAACAGATGCTGTAAGTGCCAAACGGATAGCAAACATGATAAGCATACATGTAGTTCTGGAATATATTAACTGGAAACAGAGCCAAAAACCATTCTATTAAGACAGGTTGAACTTTTCAATCATTTTCTTGCATTTGTAACATAACATGACCTAGTGCTAGTTATTTTTCCCAGAGTTAAGTGTATTTTCAAAAGTGAATGAACGTTCATCACCATACAAGGTTTAAACAGATTTTACTTTTCAAACCTAAATCTAATCTATTTATTGTATCCCCCCCATCACCATTAAGCCCCAGTCCCAATCCTCATCAGTCTCTACCCCCTATCATCATCATGCAGCTTTAAAGTTAAAATAATACAACTCCATATAAAGGTCAGGATCAAGCCATCACAAGAAAGGCCAAGATATATTTACTTTTCAAAGTCATTTTAGCTACTAAAAGAAGAACCGCAGTTAATGCATCTGCTTGCTGAAATGTTTTAAAAGGGCACTGTTGTGGAATGCTTGGTTCTTCAACAGTGGCGTCAGGTTCTTGGGGGTATTCTGGCAGGGGTCTAAACTCACACAGGACACCACCGAGTCACTCAGTGTGGGAAACTGGCAGGCCCCTGATCAAACAATGCCAGGAATTCCAGAACCACATGTTTGTGTTTTGTCTGCCAGGGCTGAAGACATTCCAATTTACAAGCCATTCCCTCTCCTCACCCTCTCCTTAAATAAACAGCCAGGAGGGGGCCATTAGAAACAAAAAGGAACAGAGGAGCATAACAGATAACACCACAATCCTAAAAGCCTGCCTCCATTGTAGATTATAGAACAGAAAAAACATGACGTGAGAATTCTAAAAATCTTTCAAAGGGCAATGAGATTTAAAAAGCACTTTGTGGGAAAACTACATACATTTAAGCCTTTGTTTAGGGGGTTCTCATAAAACTGGCACTTTATCTAGCAAAAAATCTTAAGACTCAATGCAGAGAAGCTAAATCTATTTAGTTTTAACAGCCAAACCTCTACAATTCAACACCAGGTGCTCAATACTTCAAGCTTGTTCCTTTATTTTGAATAAATTTGCATAGAAAGTCTTCTAAAGTTATAATACTTAGCTTTGCTTTTGAAGATTGCCAATGCGCTGTGCAAAACCTCAAAGCTTGTGAAACCTGAAATAGATCACACTGCCTTGCAATTACAGTCTTAGTGTTTTTTTGCAACAGCGATATTGTAGCTTTACAAAAGCCACCTCAAGGAGCAAACGATGCAAAAAAAAAAAACAACAATGCAGGAACAGTTCGAAAACGACCAAGAGAGATATTTATCCATCCATTCACTAGCCAGTTGTCGAAATCAGGGTTGCAGGGAAGCCAGAGCCTATCCCGGGAAAAACTGGGGCGCAAGGCAGGCTACACCCTGGATGGGATGTCAGTCCACTGCAGGGCTGATGCCAACACAGACATGCACAAACCCACCAGGCCAATTTTCCCAGATGCCAGTTCACCTACCAGTATGTCTTTGGACTGTGGGAGGAATCTGGAGCACCTGGAAGAAACCCACATGAACACGGGGAGAACATACAAACTCTACACAGACAGTACCCCAGGTCCAGAATTGAACCCAAGGCCCTGATGCTGCAAGGCAGCAACGCTCACCACTGTGCCAACCCCCAGGATCCATTCAGCCTGGATGATATTTATGTAAATCTCATAACTGTGCTGGAGTATAAAAATAAGGTTCTCCTTGGATTTCTTTTGAACTTCGTGTGGCCATCATCGGAGCCAACAACCACTATTTTCTCAAACGGTCATCTGGGAGATGAGGAACGTGCATTACTCCTTGTCTGCACTTGGAGAGCTCAGGGCACGTCCAGAACGCAGTAGGAACATTTCACAACTGACAGCTCCACCTCAAGACTGCAAGATTTAGAATACCCCTCACGATGCCTCAGTCCACTCAGGAAAACTACATATGGGACATTCCAACTGGGAAAGATTTATGTTAGTGATGGAAAACAGCAGCAATGTTTGTACTTTTGCAATACTTAAATCTCCCAGCCCCGTGGGTGCTACTGAGTGCTAAACAACCTAAAGAGCCAAGACTGGACATCCCTGCCTGTTCTATATCCTCTCCTGCAATTCACATTCAGTTCAGGTGCATCCGCAGTTCTCCTCTCCTAAATGGCATCTCTAAGACACATGAAGGTAACGTTCGTCCTTTATGACACACGTGGCCAAAACTACACGTGCTGCAGGAGGTCAACTTATTATTAAGCCATCTCAAAACCTGTATTGTTTTGTGTGCATTAAGCCAAGCAAATGTACTTTGTATCTAAAACAGTAGGTCAAGGGTTGTGATGCCAATGTCCGAGGAGGCTGGGGACCTCTCTCTGACATGTGAGATGTTCATTATACAGTAAATGATCATTCAAATACATTCCATCCACTCCTGTGCAACTGTATCAGGTTGGCGAGAGACCTGGTCACCGCTGGTTTGAACTGGCTGGGGTCTGCTTGCCTACAGGTCAGTAAGGTGACTTTCAGACAAGAAAAAATGTTTTGGTCTTTCTCCTCACTACATTAATGCTGTCTCATTGATCCCCACAGAAGGCTCTGCACAAAGTAAGACTGTGATGTGTTTAAGTCTCTTCTCTCAATATGCAACACTAGGGAAAAGCAAGCAGCACCACGTGAAGTGTTTTGATTCTTCCCTTAACAACACTATTGGTGCATGTATCAAAGATCTACAGCTGAAGATCCACAAAGCACATCAAAACATTAAACAAGTATTTTGAAACGGTCCTCACTGACGACCTCCTGAAGACCACCAAGTTGGAAAGCTTAACTGAGGTGTACCAGATCCACTGATGACCAGCTCAGTGCCCTGAGCTGCAAGAGGAGCAGTCAGACTCTCTAGTCAGGCCTGAGACTTGTAGTACAGTCAACCAGCTAGCAGGTACTGAATCTTAGCTGAGGGCATCTTTGCTCTTCCCAATCGCCAAAAACCCAAGGCTGCTGCAACTTGAAAATTCAGCAGAACCCAGACCTCCACAACCACAAACCACAGGCTGAATCTTATCATTCCCTACCACATTCAGTGCAGAACTGGGAACTTGCTTTAAGTGTGTGCAGGACAAGTGCAGGGTTCTATATAGAGCAGAACAGGAACATGGACAGATTGAGCCTTGTACAACTATTTTATTTTCTTACTATTTTTACAGTAAATTGTTTATCAGTAAATGCAGGTCATTAGCTCTCTCTTTAGTTGATATATTTTACACCGATCTTAAACTAGGAAGAATACTTGTGGTAATTTCCCTTATTCCCTCTTCAAACAGACTGCAGATTCTCCCCTCCTCCTCAGATCTAGCTTTCACACAACATTGCACAAAACACTGACATTATGGCTTCACTAGAAAAATTACACCCAAAAGCTTCAAATGCCCAGCGTAAAAAAAAAAACTCCAAAAAGAAAATGAAACATTCCTTCCTCACAAACCCATTCCGACAGCAAAGAGATTTGTCATCATTTGTGGCGTCGTAACCTTGGGAGTCAAAACAAAACAGTTCGGCAGTGAAGATCTTAAGATGTCAGAAAGTACGGAACCAAGCCCAAAGCTGAACGCTTCACCACTGCTCTGCTTTTAACCCAAAACCATATTTCAATCCATGTTCCACTAAAGCTCCATTTTCTCCCAGTGCATGCAACACAGCAGTAGGAACTGCAAAGTGAAATAGAAAAATGATGGTATGAGTCAGTGTGTAACTAAGGATGGTTTTTGCGGCTTGTTTTTTCAAGGGATTTTCCTTTTTTCTTTTTTTAAATTGTTGCTTTTTCGGTTTTCTTTTGGGCAGGCTTTTTGTGGTTTTTTTGCGGAAAGGTTTTTGCTTTTTCCCCAAGACCTGTTTAAGAGGTTCGTCATTCAGGACTTGTGCAGACCTGGACCTGACCTTGATTCTGCGGAATTGCCTCTTGGAAGGACTGGGAATGTGTTCCAGGAATCCAGCCTCAGCTAAATCAGATATTGGTTCATCTGTGGCCAGTTTTGAATAAGGGAATGCTGCGAGAAGCTGGATTTTCTTTACAAAACTCTGCTCCTGTGTCCCACGCGCACTTTGGCCTGTGTACGCAAGCCTGATCCATTTAATAAAATCAGCTATGCAGCACCTTGATCAAACACATACTGTTGTGCAAAGATCTTAGCCGCTGTTAGGAATTACATGTGTGTTAAGAGTATTGTTTTCCCCAATAGTAGACAAATTATTAATGCAGCTTATCTGAGAAGAAACCAAACCTGTCATTTAGCAATGTTTAATTCACATTTCAAAACCTGATAACTCCAGTTAATATATACACAAGAAATCAATATGATGTGTTGTAGTGGCTAATCACAATAATGGTGGATGATTAAAAGATACAATATCTGGGCAATCAATAAAATATATAAATTCCACAATATATATATCAGATCTCATTTTGCAAAGCTAATACTTAATCTTCTGAAAAAGAGACGTGTACCATCAATGGAATGGCCATACTTGAGTGCCAATGCAACCAGTTTGGTCCAGATGTCTTAAATACTGTAGCTTAAGGGGGTCATAACGTTCCCAGAACAGACGTGACCAAATTCACATACATCGCTAAAATACTACTTGCCTTTCAAAGCAAGGGAAGGAGAAATACTGTCCAGAAGTTGAAAAGATGTGCGGAGTTAGTGCCAATAATGTTTGGACTCCCCGAACTACGGTTAGAAGACTTGTTCCGATACTAAATGAGAAGGTAATGAAAACAAAAGCAAGAAAATTGAAAACAAGACAAACAAAACCAAGCAAAAACAGAAACATTGTGTGTCTTTTTAAAAGAAAAAAAAGAAACATTAATACGTGGGGCCACGGTGTTTTCACAGTCAGTTGAAAGGAAAATAAATCATCCTGTCCATCTAGCTGTGCGCTCTGGAGCGATTAAATATCAATACGACAGCAATCACTCTGCAGTCTGCAGTCCTGCAACACAGCTTCGTAGCTTTTGGTCTCTCGACTTAACTGAGGTTAATCGCACAGGAACCAAATGTTTTTAGCAGCAAAGAGGAAGGAGGACAACAGCATTCCAGAATGAAATTAATCATTTAAAAAGTGTTTGCTGAGCGAAACTGGGCAGCATTCCTTTTTTTTTTTGTTCATCGCGATAACCTTTTTTTAAAACTTTTTGCATAAAAAAAGTTCGCATGCTACTTTTAATTGAATATAACTATAGAGTGCACGCACCTTTTTCGGTGCAGGCAATGGGCTTTAAGGACAACGCCCCGGATTCTTCACGTTGCAATACGCCAGAAAGCAAAAGCTTTTAACGCGTGAGTTGAAAAGTACACGAAAATCCAGTCCACGTAGCCAACTGTTTTAGCGAAAACGTTACTACTTGATGGAAAACATATTCTACATGATGGATTTTCAGTACAACAGAAAGCATGTGTTTGGTCACGAAGGTAGCTATTCTAAGAGAGAAAAAAAAGTTTTAAACTTGTAGTTACTTCAATCAAGGCCGCTGTAAATACTGTAAAGGGCTTGGCATCTAAACAGACAACTTGAGGCTGGAGACGAGCACATTCGACTCGGTAACAAACTGCAGAACAGATAACGATATACACAGTGAATGAAGTCACTGAATGAAACGACGCGTTGAAATGGTCAGAGCAAAAAATAATCATAAATGAGCCGCCAACACCTGCCAACATTTTTATTTTTCCACCACAACCGACCGCACGTTGCGCCATGTGACAACTCCTTTCGGCTCACAGTTCCAGTTGTGTAAAATACTCATCCCACTCACCTTGCTTTTAACCTCCGCGGAGAAGCCATAGGCAGGTCCTTTGTTGAAATGGCTAGCGGACATGGTGAGATAAATGGCCTGAGAGCTCAACAACTCGCCTTGCTTCTGCTAAACGCGACAGCCAGCGCCGAACTGCAGCTGAGCGGACTTCCCTTTCAAAGTTTTTTTTACGAGAGGCTCAGCGCAAAGGCGAGTGCGCATTTGCGCTTCGGAACAAGCCCCTCCTTTCCCCCCTTTTCAGCCGTGATTGATATCAAAAACTCCTTATAAGGAAAGAAAGACCCAAATTCCTAAAGGATAGGAGTTTCCTGTATCCCACCCTATCCGAGACGTGAAGTAGCCGGGGAATCTTGAATCATTCAACCAGGAATGGATCAATGGGCTACCGGTTGACGTCACCCGTCCAAGATTTTAGTCCTTACGTAATAAGTACAAACATTGCGGGGAATATTTCGCAATGAGGCAGAAATATCAGCGATTCTGACTTCATGTGCGGAAGAGAATCCTATGACATTGCACATTAATATTTGTAACCTCATTCTCATTATTTGTCACCCGAAAAAATATGTAACTACCCTGTGCTGGATTGCTTAAAAATGTTCCATATTTGTCGATTTAAACATTAATGAGGTGTCAAACAAAATTAAGAAAACTTGTACTGTCAGATAATAAGTAAGGGTAATACTTTCTGAATTAGGCTTTATGTTGCTCGTATAATACAGTATTATACCTTCTAAGCATTTACACACAGTTTTATATCAGCATTAATAACTGTTTATGACTGTTCTTCCAAAAGACATGAGAGGTGTATACAATTTCTTAGCACCCGTAATCCCGCTCCACATCGAACACTTTACTCCAGCCCCAATCCTAACCATAGCTCCCTAAACCTAAAAATATTGTAAAGTGCAACTTGCCAAATGCTACGAACACTTGTGTATGTTTTGGAATAGGGATAAAGGGTTGTGAATATTATGTAGCCTCTAAAACGTTATTCTGGCTACATCTAGCCCGACTTTAACAACGCGTGACTGAAGTGAGTCATTAATTACATCCACATTCCCTGAAGTGCTTGGAGTAGCATTATCTTGACGTGTTTTTGTCTCTTTAATGTTTTAGTTCACTGCATGTTCCCCAGTCACCCATCTGTGATCAAACAACAGGCCAGCGAAGAATCGCGGTCCCAACATGTTGCTGCTGTAGCGCTACCTGAGTTTGGAAAGGGAAATTTGGCCAGGACGCTGGGGTTACACCCCAACAGATGCCGCGCTGGGCCGGGGCTGGGAACAAAGAGGAAAGCCGCAAACTCCGGCACACACGGGACACCCCTCCACCTGGGTAAAACTGGCAGTGACCACAGGGCAGCATCAGAGTAGATGGAGCTCTTTTTTAATGAATGCAAACTATTCTGGCCCACAAAGATGGAAGGAGATGATAAATGCTTAAGCATATACCTGAAACCTGTGCAATTAAGAGGAAAGTCTTTAAGACATAATTGCAGAATGCTCGTTAATGGTTTAAAGGACAGATTTGGACAACAGCGTAACTTGAAGAGATTGAATGCATATGTAAACAGCTTGTTTAAATGGATGTGCATTTAACTAGAAAACAAGAGGCACGCCCTTACACAAAAGGTTGTGGGAGGCTGGAACAAGCCATAGCTTAGCTCCTAACAAGAAACTGCCGGATGTGATCCTCCATCACTTTGCTGCTAGCAACCAAACAACCAAGCTGTGCCGAATGGCTCCCTCTCATTCGCAAACGTTCTCCTGTAAGTTTTTGTACCCGTCTAGCCCCAGCTCAGTATTGAACAATGCTGAATTCTATGTCATAGACTGGTGGTGGAGGTGCTTGGCCAATGGGCATGTCCAGGCCTCTGCTGAAGTGACATCACAGAAAAACACAGATGCACCACCCTTACTATTGTAAATGGGCAAGGATGCAACAAGAAATGGGGCCGTTTAGTCTCACGTGAATTGTTGTTTTGGCAGCCAGCAGGAGCAGACAGTGACTAGGACGTCTGATTTCGCCCTGCAGTTTGTGTGTCTGCAAGTCATTACAGGCCGCGTGCGTATTGCTAAGTGAAGCAGTGCTCGTCATTCACAGAAAAGTGCTGTCTTGGATAGCCCAGACTTTCCTCTTGTGGGTGCAAGGCCCACTGCAATGTTGGGGTGTCTTTCGCATGCCCTTGGATGCAACAAAAGATGCTCTTTGATTAAAAAGAAACAAGAGGAAGGTAAAAAGCAGGTCTTAAAGATAGCCCCTGGGGGAAACCTGCAAATTGCATCTGCACCTTGATTTTCTTTTTGGACTGTTGTTCTGCTACTGCCTGGGCCACTTCTCTCCTTTTTAGCAAAAGCTCCTTTGCTGCTGTTTTATCTGGCTCAGCAGGGCTCTCGTGGCCTGAAGCACACATTCCTGTGGCTGGGGAAGAGGGAAGACAAGGAGGGGGGGGAAGAGTCGGGTTTATATATCTGGAACAAGCACCACCAGCCACCAATTAGTTGATGTTTACAGGAAACGAGATCTACTGCTCGCACTGCTTGACTGCCGCTTTCAGCGAGAGGGCTCACAGGGGCCTCCCCCGCCCCGTCCCCTGAAACAATCAAACAGGAGCTGGAAATGGGCTGTCGCTTTCTTCCTTACGAGGTGAAGGCCGCCTTAAAAGCAAGACTGAAATCCTGGATCCAAGAGCCTGGTGACGTGTTTACGATCAAGGCTGCGTCTGTTTCGGCTGTTGGCCTTCTTGTTTTCATGGCTGGCCGGGCAAGGAGCAGCATACGGGAGAAGGCAAAAAGAAAAAAGGCCGAAGGGAAATTCAAAATCGGTTCTGGTAGCCGTGTGTGAAGTCTTTCCTGGGAGCGTTTTTTAAAAGGAGCAGGAGCAGCAGTATGGAAGAGCAAGCTGATGACTGACTTCACCTGGGATCTCAGTAGCTCATGCTCTTGCAGTTTGGTACATAAAGGGAAATTGCCCAAAAGAAACAGAAGCAGTGGAATGTGGACATCCAGAATGTCACTCCTCCCACTGGATGAAGAGATCTGATTTGCTTACACACTTATTGTAATGTACGGACACAAGAAGTCACAGCCCAGACAAGGAAATCAGATAAGAAATCAGATAAGAAATCAGAGGCCTCCAGTAGTATCAGGGCACCACTGAAAAACCTTTAAGAGCAAGGTCAGGAAGTACAGAGATTACTGTTCCGCATTTAAAAAAATTGCCAAGGTCTCTGCTCTGAAGGGTTTGTTCCTTTCTTTATGAAAGTGGAAGTTCTAGGAGTTACATCTTTCTTGAACTACAAATATGCAGTTGCAAAATAGAATGCTGGAAGGAAGGTATTCTATTAATCTTCAAAAAAAGGAGGAATTTCAAGGAACATTTAAGTATTTTTATTACGTGGTGAGGAAGTGGTTAGCATTGCTGTCTCGCAGCACTAGGGCCCTGGGTTCAATTTCTGACCTGGGGTGCTGTCTGTGTGGAGTCTGTATGGTCTCTGTGTGCTGGTGTGAGTTTCCTCCTACAGCCCAAACACTGGTAGATTAATTGGCTTCTTGGAAAAATCGGCACTGGTTTGAGTGGGTGTGAGTGTTTGCGTCTGTGTGGGCCCTGCGATAGACTGGCATCCCATCCAGCTTGTACCCCGCCTGTTGCTTGCTGGGATAGGCCCCGGCTCTCCCACTACAATGAATTGGACGGAGTGGTTTGAAAATGGATGGATATCCTTTACTAGGCTCAACTTAAAATCTAGTTAGTTGAAAAATGCGTTTAAACAAACATCTCAGATCATTTGAAGAGGGTTGAATACCTAGAATTCTTGGCAAAAAGGGTTATTCATATTAGATAGAAAAGAAAATTAGGCCTCAGATTAGACATCTTATAGAATTTAAAAAAACAACAGGACTAATTCAATTTACCAATGCCAAGTCTGATTAATTTGAAGGAATACACTAAAGAAATAATAAGGGCCCTTCAATAATTTAATTGTATAGAGAAAATAAACTTGCCATATTGCTTTAAGATCTAGGCTTACATCCAGGCCTGCAGCAATCAAGACAAAAAGGCAGTTCTTCTTAAGGCACAAACAAATCCTTTTAGCAGGAGCACAATAAAAACAGCTTTCAGGTGTTTGCTCTGAATGATCCCAGCTTCTGCGGTTTCCCTGGAGATCAGGCTTTGTAAACTGTGTGTCTGTCTACCCACATTCCTCAGGCATGAGGTGATGATGAAGTTGGCAGCTGCCATGTCCTACAATTCTACCGGGCATACAGTAAATTGTAACAGTCAAAGGACCAGCTAGGGCAGTGACATGAGCTGCTTTAGCCCCAGGAAAAGTATTTGGGGTGTGGAGAATAACTCAACTGTTGACAATTTCCTCTTATGTCACAGAAAGGACGACAAGATCACAACTGATTACATTTTCAAATTTGATTCGTTTTCCGAAAAATCAAAGAAATCAAAGGCACTCGCGTATCCCTATTAAAAATGGCTTTAATCCAAGCAGGAAACGGAGAAAAGAGATTCAATTTGTCAACACTTGTTCTGACATCTGGGTCGTTTGGAGAACAGCTTCTACTAGTGAAGCACAACCCAATATCAAGTTACGAGAGATCAGCCCAAGCTGGCATCAGGAACACACTGAAGCACAGATGGCCGAATGGGGGATCGTGTTTCTTTACAATGGGTGTGAATTTAGACTTTCAGAAGTGAACAATACATTTACAACCCCTACCGCGAACAGAGATAATGATCTGAAGTAGAAGACATCTGCATGTTATTTTGTAGTTTGTAGGAAATATTTTCAATATTTTTCCAAATGCTTTTCTGTACTTACATTTCAATTGCCATTACATGAGGGCGACATCAGCTCTAATTGGGAATAAAATTTTAATAAAGCAGTGCGACAGGTTTTTGCAGAACAACAGCGGACTGATGTGAAAGGAAGTAATTGCAGAAAGAACCAAATTTAACACCCCAAAGCCTGAAAGTGAGGCAAGGCTTATAATGTACTGCTGCCATATTCCTGCAGTCCACCCTGTTCTGCTGCACTGAAGGAACAGTGGTAAAATGGAATCTCATTCATCTTAAACTGGGGAAAATAAAAAACCTAACGATCAGAAATGCAAATGTGGGGTGTCAAGGAAGGTGGATACAAGCCTTCAAACTACTTGTCACCTTTATATCAGCCTGTTAAAGCAAGGTTCCATTGAACAAGCCTAGATTCTGAAGTAAGATGGAAAAATATTTGACCAAGAAACCAGAAGCAATCAAAATACCTTGGGAGGGGGGGGGAAACTTTTTAAATGAGTTTATTTAATAAACATCCATGACAGTTTTATCAAAAATACACTTATATTGTTAAGACAGACCTATCCAGTTCAATTCTACTCAATGTGAAGGTCAAGGCACTTCCTGAATTCTAACAATATAGAGCATGGACTTTTAAAATTCTGCATGCAACTGCATAGATGCTGGGGTGCACAGACCTAGAGATGAGCACAACCAGTAAAACACCCAGTTAATGCTAGCTTTAATCCACACGGCAGAGGTAATTCGTTATATATTCCTTGTGGCTTGGTAAAAATGTGGATGAAGCCTACAGAAGAGAAAGGGAATACGAGACAATACTAGCTGACTTACTGAGGCACGCTGGCATGAAAGCTTGGTGGAGAATCTCATCGCGGGTACTCATGGTGTACTGTCTCTGCGAGGGAGAACTTTTACTTCCTAGGGCACACAGTGGCAAGGTTTTCGCAGGCAGTGGACAATGCACTGCACTATAAACACTTGTTTTGTCCCGTACCTGGGTACTTGGGCTTGGATGCTGAAAAGCTGATTTTACGCCCGCTTGCTCGACGGCTTCAGAGAAGCCCAGATAAAATCTGGAAAGGCGATCACCCTTGAAAAGCACAGAGCAGAGCTCTTCGCATCCAAAAATCAAGATTGAAGGGGGACCGTCCTGATTGACACACAGCAATGACCCTAAAGGCAACTGTAGCTGAAATAGCTCTTCTGCCACAGAAGCACATGAGGAGTTCCAGGAGGCGGGGAGCCCATATGTAAAATCCCACCCTGACCACTCTTCTCAGCCAGTTTGGCAGTGCTTGTCCGTCTCTCCTCCTCCTCCTCAGAGGAAGACGGGCTGCTCCTGTCCTGTAAGCAGGCGGTATGTTGAGGCGGGCATGGTCTTCAGGTGAATCTGGAAGGACACAAATTTAAGAAAGGCAGAATTAAAGACTGGCCATGAAGTATAATGATTGCACGGGACTGTCAAAAACTCTCAGAACAGTTCTCATAAGAGAAGGTGCTTTGTAAATAGGATACATTAGTTCATAGTTTTTGTATGAAGAAATTATTCAATTTAAATATGTCAATGTGATGTGGATAATAGCGCCCCCACCCCCCCTTAGTGGTATTTCTCTCCATGTCCTGTCCAAAGAATCTCCTGAAGCAACAAGGCTCCAGTTACAGGATATCAGGAAAGGCCTGGATCCAATGGGAACCCAAGGACTATCTATTCAGTGCCAGCATCTTTTTGCTGTGGTTAAAAAAAGACAACCAGATGAGAATTCATAACATTCATTTTTTTCATTTATTTTAACAAAGGTAAACCATATCTAAACACAGGGATAATTCGCTGTTATATGGACGACCGTGGGGGCATTTCAGAGCACAAACAAATCAGGATGAGACACTGATGTCAACGCCATGCAATTTGAATTTAAATTACTTTTTAAACTTACATACTTTAATAATTTTACCCAAATTAAATCTGTTCATAGTTTGTGATTACAAAGGTTACAACAACAAACACATTGCTAAGTCTATTTCATCACATATTATTAAGTCAAAGTCCAAACTGTCCTCAATCAACCTCAGTAATTACCAAGTATGTGGAAGAAAAGCATCTGTTTCTTGTCTTTTCCCAAAGTCTAATATTAAACTTGTTTTTACACAGTTTCCAGACTTGATTTCAGCACTTATTTGGCAAAGAACTAGGAATATGGCGACAGAAAATGGGACACCTAGTGGTAAATGTGATGCTTTATCAGGGGGAATTTAAATTTTGATGTGCACACTCTAAATTGCGTATGCAGATTTCTTAAAGTTATCTAGGTAATTTTCAGCTTAAAGAAAGACTCCCAGGAGACATGCCAACGTGGAAAACTGCCGCAACAGCCGGAGAGTGAAAGTTTTCTGCCTGACAAATACATGGTAATGGGGTGTGTTACACCCATGCAACCTGAACAAAAGCAAATTACAGTGTTTCCACATGGGCAACACGCTACCCTGTTATCAGTGCAGGTGCTGCCAAGATTACTAAGGTGCATTTAAATTTAATTGTGTGCAAAACACCACTGGATATGTTTCTCACTTCATACGGGGGTTTACACTAACAACCAATCATGATTTGGCTTTGACAACCACTGTCGGCACCATTAAAACCTATTTGTGCAGCAGCAGTAACTGCGTCGCCTTTTGTGACATTGAAGGTGTAGTTTCCGGGACTAGAAGGCTCTCGAGTGCACATACAGCTCTTAGGGGAGCCTTATGCACATCATAAGGCACCACTTACAGTATGCACACATGCCTCTATTTCCCCTGTGGAGCAGGACTGACGCACCACAACGTGTGCACCTCTGGGGCTGTGGGGAACCCCTCCCGAGCCAGCCTGAAGGCATGTGCAGTCTCACTACTGGCCACGCTCACCTCCCCGACTGCGTGCGCCAGGATGTGGATGATCTTCTCGTGCGGAGTGGCCACCACGCTCTGCCCGTTGATCTCGATGATGCGGTGGCCCACCCGAATGCCCCCCCGCTCCGCGATGCCCCCCCGCATGAGACTGCAAATCTGCACAGCACAGAGAGGCAGGACAGGAGGGGGTGGATGAATGAGGGGGGAATCTTACTTCTCACTTATTTGGATCATTTCCTGAGGTGCACGATACATTGGCTATCCAATTGGCTCAGGGCACGTTTTACAAGAATTCTAACTGAAGATCTTCGAAAGGCTGAAAATAGAATAGTAGGACCAAGTTAACAGATTACAATATTAGCCTTTGAAATCATGTGTTCCACTGATGCTAACTGAAAACCATCTGGAAAATGCCAGATCAATACCCAAGAACCTCTGAGAGTCCCAGACAGACAAGTGTCGCAAAGCTGTAACAAAAAGTACAGGAAGATCTTACAATCCCATCCTCCACACTGAAACCCAGCTGATACTTGGGATCTGGGCGTTTGATGATCGCCATGGTGACAGGGGGACAGTGGACGATGCTGAGCTTCACCTCCACCTGGTTCTTCAGATCCTTAAATGAGCGAAACAAAAATGATCTCGACTAAATATTTTCTCCAGTAACCAGTGATGATCTCTCAAACACATGGATCTTAGGAAGCTGTCCAACACCTATTAAAATAATCTCTACATCACCCTCTTCAACTGTATTTCCCCAATATCAAAAATAAGCTGTCGTTTTCTAATTCAGGACTTCTGCAAACCAGGAGGATGTGTTTGTATATCTCAGATTTAATAGGCGCTCCAAACTTTATTAAATGTTACCAATTTTAATATAATGTGGTGCATTTCCTCTTTGCAGAATAGGTGATCCGTTTCAAAATTGTCAGCACAGTGTGGGGTTTCTTTTTGTATTACTTTAACCATTAATTTTAACCTTAAGAATTATGATATGATATCTGGACACTATTTCTTTCTTCCTAAATTTAGAATAGTCGATTCTTTTCTTGTTACACAGTCACCAGAGTTACAATTGCCAGTCGGGTGTTTTTCAGGATTCCCTAGGCCCACACACAGTGGAGAAGGGCCAGGCAGACTCCAAAGACCCTCTGAGTCACTTTGAGCCACTCGTCTTTCACCATTTTTATTGCAACCGTCACCGACAGCACCGCAGTCTGCCCTGAGCCAAGAGAGCTGGCCAGCTATTCCCACTGTGGGCTTCCACTAAGGGAATCCTAGTCACAGCTGACAAAGTGACTTGATCCCGGCTCGAACCCGCAGCACTCGGATCATAGAGCCCAACCTGCTCTCAGACAGGAGCCTTTGTGAGTTGAGCCATTTGAGAGGCTCGATCAAACAGTTCCTAAAAGTGACCTAGACTGTTCCATGCACGGGGAGGTTAAGTGAAAACTACAAAAAAAACTGCAGCAGCAGTAACAAACGTGCAGCAACAGCAAAGACTAATTATACAGCAGCAGTGAGATCTAGATCAGCGGTTTTGGTGGTAACGAGGGAAACTGCACTGCAGATCAAGGGTGGAGTGGCAGAAGCTGAGCTGGCACGATGAACAGAGCTGCGTGTTGGGCTGGTACTGTAGCCCTGGGACACGCAATGGCAAATTAACTCGAACACACCCACAAAACTCAGGTGATATCTCGTAATATTATTTTGTCTGCTCTAAAATTCAATAAACAGACTGAACATGACAATCGCGTTATAAAGCCCTTTGCACTTTTAAGAACCCACTCTTGCTTATTCACTCAGAATGAGGTTTTCGTCTTTCAAATCAACATGAGGCCATGGGGGTCTAAGTATACAATACAGAAATGCTTTTCCCTTTTCGATCTGAGTGAGCAGCCCCCCCCCCGGCTCACCCGAATGATACTGTGACAGGTGGCAATGGGCAGGCCCACCAGGCTGGTGCCGTTGACAGACATGATCCTGTCCCCGATGCTGAGCTCCCCACTGCGCTCCGCCGGCCCCCCGTGCAGGAGGTTGGCCACCACCGCCGTGGGCAGGATGGAACCCCAGCCCGACTCGACCACCGCCAGTCCCAAGATCTCCCCGCGCTCCTTTGTGATCACCACCTGGGGGAGGCAAGAGGCAGCCATTCAGGATCAACAGATACAGATGCCTATGAAAAAAACCCTCAATTGAAGCCGACTACACAAGTACTGATGTTAGTTGCTAGCAACTCCATACCAAATCCAATCATACACATGTATCGTGCAAAAGTATATGTGCAAATACATAAGAAAAATTGTGCATGCGGACTTAAGATAAGATCAGAGATAAGATCACTTTATTGGCCATATACAATTTTTTGCATTAGGAATTTGTCTTTTCGCATACCCCAGCTTGCTCTCCATGAGACACACAGACACACAGACAGGGAGAGAAGCCTGGGGTCAGAGCGCAGGGTCAGCCATTGTACAGCACCCCTGGAGCAGCTGGGGTTAAGGGCCTTGTTCAGGGGCCCAATGGAGTAGGATTCCTCTGCCGGCCGAGGGATTTGAACCGGCAACCTTCCAGCCACAGGTGCAGATCCTGAGCCGCAGAACCACCGCTCCGTTTGCAGAAAGAATCATAAACACCTGAATGGTTAAACTGTATAGGTACAGGTTAAAAACTGTTCCTCATACTCCATTTTGATTTAATTACGAAACTGTTAATTTAACCAACAACCTGTGGTTGTTCGATTGACAGATTTGCAGGGGCAGATCAGGGATAAAGATCGTGTACTTCAACACCTGACCACTATGGGAAAGTGACTGAGCTGGAGACCTGCTCTGGGACAGAACCGTGATGGAGCTGCAGTGTGCAGGCTAGTGTGCATGAAGGGCCAGGTACTCTCTGACCTCCCGGATGTTCTCGGAGCGGGAGAAGTGCACCAGGTCCCCGTTGTAGAGCTCCTGGGTGCCCAGGTAGTCGCTGTACTCGCTGGGCCGCAGCTCACTGGGCTTGATGCCATTGGCTTGCAGGAACTGCTGGTAGGCCACACCAAACGCCTGTCCAATCGCTTGAGCAATCAGGTGAGCCTGCAAGTGGAGTCAGAGAGACCCAAGAGAAGGCTGTTGAAAAGACTGGGCTTTAACACTCGGGAATTGTTACACCACATCTAGATCTGTTCTGTCTGAGATGACCTTCCTTCAGTGGCATGTTCAAGAACACAAAAGGATTAAAAATGGACTCTAGTTAAAAAAGAATGGCCCCATCCAACTGGAATGAAATGTTCTACACCCTGCAAAGTGGAGAAGAAGTTTCACAAGTTGATGAAGTCATACTGCCCTCGGCCGCGAGAAGCAGCCTGGCCAGACTCACATCCTCGGAGCAGAAGACATGGCAGATCATGCAGCACTTCTTTTTGTGGCCTGAACTATTCCCCGCCCCCTCTCCGGTCTCGCGGCGGGGAGCCGACTTCCTGCGGGCCATCAGGACCACGATGTTGCCAATATCAGCAATGTAGGAGATCAGCTGCAGAGAGTGATCCATCATGGCTTCCTGTGGAGATGGGTAGAAAGAGAGAAAAGAGATGGCATTTACATAGACAGCCACCTCCTGGAGCAATGGATTAAAACCCAAAGAGGATCGTCAGTGCCAGTATTTGAATTAGCATGTCTCTGCCCCTCATTGCGCCAGTGCTTGTGAAACCAACTACAGGAATCAAAGCACTGGGAATGGTGCTGCAGTGGTTGCTCAGCTCTCAGCAGCAGTGACGCCAGCATACATCAAGTTGGGCTGGGACGGACAGCTTTTCACTGGGGGCTGGGGGTTCTGTAAATATGTTTGCTTTGCTCCTCTTTTGAGATTTGGGAATGGTGGTGGTGGGGGGTCTTCTCATCATAAGAACATAATTAGACACAAACAAACAGGAAGAGGCCATTCAGCCCATCCATCCTTGTAGTTAGTAGTTACATGGTCTAAGTGTCTCATCCAGCTGTTTCCTGAAGGCAGCCAAAGCTTGGGCTTCGACAGCACAGCCTTCTCTGTATAGAAGGGCCTCCTATTCTTGGTTTTAAATATACCTCCACGTACTTTCCACTTGTACTCTCTGGTTTGTACTTCACTTTTTCTTTTGGAAAATGAGGGATGTCTTCCTGATTTCTGTGGGGCTTCTCCTGGTAGCTTTGCTCTTTGTTCACTGCTGCCTCCTTGAGCTTCTCCTGGTCCACATGTCTATGAGTATCTCTTAGGAGGGAGCCAAGCAACCTGTAGGATCCCAATGTTACAACCCAGCACTTTTGGAAGCAATGTCCCACAAACAGGGAAGCAGAGGCAGAAATGTGCCTGAATGCGTCAGTGAAGGAATTCAGGGGTTTTTCAACAACAGACCACACACCTGGTTGCCTGCGCTCAGCACTTTGATCCTCTGGGTGGAGATAAAGAGATCAACCTCCGTCATGGGCTGGGACTCTCCCTCTGGAGCCTGCAATTTACAGAGTACAAATCAGTTTTGTGCATTACCAGCACATTCAGAATCTCCACTAGGAAGATTTAATTACCTTAAAATCCTCAAAACACATGCTCAAAAGCACCCATAATATAAATCCACTTAAAGAACCATAATTAGTTCAGGAATTATGTTTTGATCATGCCACATTGCCAATGAAGGATAGAGAACAATGTTAACTGTTTGTAAATACTTGTAGTAATAGGGAATTAAATCAGTAACAATTCTAAGTAAATAATGAAGATCCAGAGTCATCTGGAACAGCAGTGGCTAAGGAAGGAAAAAGATTTTGTAGTGGAAGTTTGGTATTGCAGTTTGAGACCTAAACGACGCAGGTGTAAGGAGAGTTCCTGCAGGATGGGTATCGGCTCTGTTAGTCGGCTTGTCAGTGTTACAGACAGGGGACAGGCTGGGAGCTTGGGGTGGTGCAGGAGCAAAAGAAGGGCTTTAGGGCTTCAAAAATAAGGACTGTGGGAGTTTAGCTAAAAAGTTTATATTGTAGTTAAACAGGATGTAGGATGAGAACTGGTCTGTTGAGAGCTGGATCTAGAGTCTCAAAAAAGCTGCTATTACTGTTTTTCTTACTATGATAACTGGTTTTTATCTATAGAAAAACCCTATTTGTCTGAAAGCGGCTGCAATCTTGTGTTGATTGGGAGGCCAGGCCAGGGTGCATCTCTCAAAACGTTTTTTTTTTTTAAATTAAGGGCAAAGACTCGTGACGTGAATGAGGAGTCCTTGCAGTTCTGCAACCTGAACGCCCTGTTGGCGTGTTCGACACTTCATCAAGGCACTTCTGTATAAATAGCTCCTTTTTGTTTTAAAATCTTGAGGATGCCTTCATTTGCAAAAAGGCTGGCTGCTCCATGAAATGGAACAGAAGTCTGTTACTAGACCACTGCCAAAGGACAGGGCTGGTAGGGTGAAGCTGGTGGATGGCTGGAACTGACCTTGATTCTGTCCACAGCCTCCTGCGCCTGTGTCATGCGCGCACTGGTAGAGGGGTTCTTATCTGACATCATCTGGGTGGAGCCCAGATACTTCGCCCCAAAAATCACCCCATCCAGGAGGTCCTCCGGGTCACAAGGGCCAGGCACTGCTCACACAGAGACAGACATTCATAAATCGGGAAAGCAGGTGTACACGTATGACATCAGATGAACAATATAAAGGCACAAACAAACTAACAAAAAAGCCAATTATATTAGAAAATATAAATAAGAATACAGACATGGCTCTTACTGAGCAAATCATTGATGTGCATAAACGCTTGTGATTCCAGAGATAAAGATCACAGCCACTGAAACATGTTACCAGTTACCCTCTCTCCATAAGGGATCTGGAGAGGAAAAGTAAAGGTAACCAACTGCACGAGTTAAAGACTCCCTGGCTTACCATCTTTATAGGCTGGGTAGCTCTGGCTATTCTGAAACAAAACAAGGTGGAGAGAATGCAGTGTTAGAAAAAAAAACCCTGAAATACATTAGGTCAATTTTTCCAACTTAAAGGCTTTTGAGAATAGAAATAAGTCAAAAGGAAACAAGAATGCAAAGCTGATTAGTCTGTTACAAAACCTGTTGACTGACGTCTAGCCACACGTGAAACTACATATAGATACCAAAACAACACAACGTGCTCTGTTAGAGTTTAGATGGCACAAGCTACCAAGACAAGGTGGAAATATAAAATGGACAAGAAACAAAAAAAAAGTAGCTTGGTTTAAGTGGGTCTAAATGGACTGAAAAGGCATTCAGGCACAACTCAAGGGATGGGTATTTTGAAGTCGTTTCCGAACCTGCCATCTAATCTGGGTGTCTACAGCACGCAGAGGTTAAGCTGAAATGAAGGGGGCAAGATCAGGGGACGCTCCTTACATCACTGCTGTCAGATGGCGTCAGCTCTTCCTCCGGAGGGGCCCTGCCAGGCGTCTTCAACCACACGGGCTCTGGGACCTCGTCCAGAGGGGAGAGGGCGTCTTCCCTGCTCGCTTCTGGCCTGTGGCCTAAGTGGTCCCAGAGGCACTCTCCTTTCTCCTCGCTGTATGTGACCGAGACCTCGGAGTCCCTGTCCGTGCACTCCCCATCGTCTGTCCTCGCCGCCGGCCCCGCCCCCCCCTCGCAATCGAGGAGGCTCAGCAGGTCTCTCTGGTTCACCTCGGAGAACAGCAGGCCCGCGCCCCTCTCGTTCCAGGTCGCCCCCATGCCCGGATTCAGTGGGCCGGGCGGGATGGCATGGCCCACTGTTTCCCTGGGCTCTGGAGAGCTGACGAGAGGGCGTGGGAGGTCAGCGCAAGTTCCAGTCGACTCTGGGAAAGACGCCTCCGTGTCTAATGTCTGAAGCCGGGCAAGGAGCACCTGGATCCGAGTGTGGTCTTCATCTTCCTGCCGGCACTCCCCACTTCCACCTTCCTCTTCCTCGTCCTCCTCCTCCTCCTCCACCAGCTGCTCACTCCCAATGGGCCCGGCTTGGCAGTCTGCTGTGCAGCTCAGCTCTGAAGCACAGCAGCGAGGGCTGGGAGGCAGCCCCAGCTCACCCAGGGCCTCCTGAGCGGCGTCCACATCGGGCGGGGGTGAGCCGCCCTCGTCCGCCACGGCGCAGCCCTCGCTGGAGGAGTCCGAGCGCCAGTCCAGCGGGGGGGGCTCGATCAAGCTGAAGGAGTCCAGATCGTCTAGCAGGGGGCTCGCACGTTCGCCTGGGAGCAGAGACACTTCCTCCTGGGTCAACACCGTCTCCCCACTCACTTGCCATTCCCGGGACCGGCTGGTGCCCTCCCCCTCGGCTCTCAAGAAGGGCTCATCCAAATCTGCCATGGAGGAGGGAGAGGGGGTCTACCTTCACACTCTCCCACCGTGCCTGAGCGAGGGGCTGGCGCTGCACCAGCTGAAAGCCCCTCCTTTCGAAAAACAGGCGAGGGATTCGCGCCTTGGGCAGCAGCCTGTGTCGGAACAATCAACACTCTGCTTCATCCAGACATCAGAGATGTGTGGAACCAGCACCTGACTTGTCCAGCGGCTAATTTGTCCCACCGAATATTGACATGAGGAAGCCTGGGGAAAAACAACAACATGCAAAACTGTTACGTCGACGGTAATGATGGTCACTTAAAATTAGAACTAATTAAATGATTTATCCACAGCAGAAACTGTACTTCATAAGGGTTAATTAAATTGCAGCTTGTCCTCTTCCATGCCATCATAAGGACCTCTGACAGGTAACACGTGTCCTGTGCGGTGAGCCTACATTGACCAATCTCTGGTTAAGATGATCATTACACCTGCTGTGTATTACAGAGGTCCTGGGATTTGTGAATATTTATGTTTCATCCTAAAGTGACAGCGTAATAAAGTTATGTAACTTGGTCTCCTTTAGAAACCAGGGTGCTGTGAGTACTCACACCTATTTTTAAAAAGCACTTTTAAGGATTTGCATGTTAGTTGTTTTTTTTTAGTCACAGCAAATACAAATTATTTCCAAATACAGGTAGTTCCCTTTTTCCAAATTCAAAACTGGGTATATCCTATTCAAGGTCAAGTATCAGCATAATTTTAAATGAGTAAAATAAAATACCCAACCTGGAGTACACATTAAAAAAGACCATACGTTAAGACAATCTTGATTAAATCAAAATAAGCACCTACAAGAATGATCTTTCAAGAAACTGTAATTATACGGTGGTATAATTGGGCAGTACAGCGCGCCGTTATATACTAAATATCCAGTTACGCCAAACAAATGGACACAACAGTGCACAAGACAATATGATTTCTAAATAGTGAGTTAATACTCATGTCTAAAAACACGCTGTCAACGCCTAAGTGGAAAAACAATTTTGAAATCCGCAGACTTGTAGTTTGCATGACAGGAAATTTAAGACATCCGTTAAATAACAACAAAAAACGACAAGCTGCATATAACTCGGCACACAAAAAATAGATTTGATTTTTTTTCCCCCAAACGTGGAAACGTCCCATCTAGACTCGACAGCTTGCGATCAGTTATTAAAAACATAATTCATAATGAATACCTCGGTTTTCTATTGTCACTCTTAAGAGACGTTGCGAAAAGGATTTTACAATATCTCGCGTAGCAGAGGAATGTTAAACCTTACCGTTTATTTGACTTCACAATCGGAACATTCAAACTTTCTCGTACTCTGTACACTTTGCACTTTAAACTCCACAGATGAAGAGTCGACGTGTTTAGCAATAAACTAAGCGTTTCAACGCCGACTGTACGTTTTCAAACGGCATTACAAGCGTTATTATCCCCCCACTAACACGCCTGCTGCCACATATTTCAACACCCTCAAGTTCACGTTACAGGTCGATACGCGTTGAGAACAAAGTGAAACATTATGACAAATCCCGCAAACTGTGCTTCGTGTATGATCGATACATTTCACTCGGATTTGAAGCCTTCTTTGGACACGCAAGACCACCCGCGCATGCGCGGCAGCACGACTCCAGGCACGCTCAATCGAATACCAAATCATCCAACTTTTAATTGTGCCCATTACTTACACTTCACATATACAGTACGTACCCCACTATATTATAAATACATAACAGATATATGTGTATGGCCGCTTCGCATTGTAATGCGACACTTTATTTCGGATAGAGTTTAGATATCCTTTAGCAAGATCTTCGAAGTTTCAAATTTTAACCAACGTTTAACATAGGCTGTTAGGATACCTTAATTCTCGACAAAAATTAGATGCTCACACTAAATGACTATTACAGCGTTACGATTAAAAAGTATGTAGAATTACTGTTTAACTACTACTGGTCTGTAGAATTTAAACAGAGGCAGTTTTTAATTATATATATGATATATTAAACCCGCCATAAACTGTTAAGTCGGGTATAGCGTTTAGGTTTTTAAAATGATACTTGGCAAAGCGATGACAGTGGCCTCAGCAGAGATCATCCAGAATTCCGTGTGACTTGGAAATCGTGTCTGCTTTCACAAATCTCAGTGTTTCTCTTTAGGTTTCCTTCCAGACGAGCCTAATGACCTAATTGGAGATTTAATTGAACTATTAATTAACTTGGGTGTAATATTTGGCAAGTGTTTGTTTCAGCTCAAACCTTTTAAGAGTTTAATATATTTATGAAATGCAACAAAATAGTTAAAACACAACACCCAAATTAATCCTGTTATTACCGGGTCAATGAAGGGTTCAATTTCAATTGGAAAAAAATCCAGAAGGGTTGGGCTTTTAGTACCAAGGTGGGAACCTCTGCTCTAGACTACCAATACCAAGTTTACAGATGAGAACTGGTCATTAGTACTCAGATACCAATGTACTGCACATTTGCAGATGAAATCAAACTCAATGCAAATTCCTTATCAATAGTCAAAGTCTATACTGTGATTAAAATGGCACTATTTAAAAAAAAGGCATTTCAAAAACAGAAATCTCTTAAATTACCGTGCATTTTATTATTTTAGGGTGTCTCATTTTTAAAATGTCAAGAAAGGCAGTCGACTAATATGAGGTCTGAGTTATAAAAAACAGATGTCTAGTAAAGGCTTACAATTAAAAAAATAATAATTCAACCAGTCATTAAAACATTAACATCTACAGATTAACATTATAATTTGTCAAATTATTTTAAAGCAATTTTTCTTCCCGTTTCAAATTTTAATAGGTTGACCGAGACACAACTAAGACCAATCTTTAAGACACCGGTTCTTCAACAGACTTACAGTAATCTTTGGTCCTCTTGTGTTAATTGAAGCCAGTATTATTTGCAATAATCACTTCCTGACAGTAATTCAAATTACATAAAACAGCTTTCAGTAATATGTTAGGAGTCGTTTTGGCTGGTCTGTCAAATCATTCACAGTCCATGAATCACAAGTACCCTCTAGAGATGAAGAGCTGTAATAACTCCTTGAGAGTTACAATGAAGCAAAAAAATAAAGGAGATACAATCCATTAATCTGGTGCCATTTATGGTCCTTCAGAAAAAGATAATATATACCCATGCAATAGCTAATATAACTTTAGCCTTAAAAGATCACATTCTCAGCTCCTTCCATCCCTTGAGAGAAATGCAAGCTGAGCCTTTGTACTTCACACACACGAGAAATCTCAGCTCAGACGCCAGCTCCTCCTTCGCCAGTCCACATCTGATGAAAGCCAATCAAGGAAGAGGTAGTGCCCATGAGGCCCACCAGCCAATCGGGGAAACATCCAGCCCACAGGAATCCTGGTGGCATCCAGTGGATGGCGTTGGTCAAATCTGCCATGCTGCTGATCACAGTGAGCACTTCTGACCGTAACTGACGCTGGATCTCGGAGCCACGCTGGACACCTGGCTCACTGAGAAACAGAGATGCTAGCGTTAATGGAGTCAAGTGTATGTGCCGCATTCTTCCATGTCATTGCCCGCTTGTTAAATATTTCATTTTAAAGGTGTCTTCACTGGTTAGAACGCTTTCTAATATAAATATCAGTTCTAGGAAAAAGTGTTTCTGTAAGGGCTTTTAAAAACTGTTAGGATTCCACTGATGTGGTACTGTACACCACAGCCCTGTGCAAAAATGGGAGATTTCCACTCCTCTTTTCTGCAGCCAGAAGAATAATTGTGGAGTGCAAGATTTAGGATGCATCGTGGACATAGCGCAATTCATTGTCACTCATGAGCACACTACAAAGCTCAAGAACATCTTCCACAGCTGAATACGCCCCTGCTGCTCCCATTTCCAAGATCCCATTTCACACCTGCTCTCCCTCAGTCTGCTCCTCTCACTTTTCTTCATCTTCCTTTTAAGCAACAAGAGGACTCGCAGAGACCTGCAAGAGATCAAGCCGTTCTCTGTAAGCGCATGCCGGGTGCTAAATTCACACCAACTCTCTCATGAAGGCAAAAAAAACAGGTTTAGCAAAGCCCATGAGACGAAAACTTTAAATGGGTTCAAAAATTGGCATTCCAGGTGTTCATGCTTTAACCTCGGACCACACAGAGCAGTCACGGCTGATTCCCAGACTTACCGGAGGATTCCCAGCAGCAGGGAAATGCCCCACAGGGCAGTGCTCAGCGTCCACCACTTGTCAGACTTGGTGCGGATGAGTTCGGCGTCAGCGGCCCAGGCGATGTGCTCGCAGGGGTAGTACAGCTGGTCAGCCACGTTACCGAGCACAGACATCCACCGCAGCACAGGATCCTCGTCCTACGAGGACAGAGGTTCTTATTTCCCCCTGACAAACCACCCACTCCAGTGGAAATCAACATGAGAAGATCAGATCAGATCACTTTATTGGCCATTTACAATTTCTTGCATTAGGAATTTGTCTTTCCGCAGACCCCAGCTTGCTCTCCATGAGAGACACAGACAGGGAGAGAAGCTTGGGGTCAGAGCGCAGGGTCGGCCATTTATGCGCTGCCCCTGGAGCAGTTGGGGTTAAGGGCCTTGCTCAGGGGCCCAACGGAGTAGGATTCCTCTGACGGCCGCAGGGTATGAACCAGCAACCTTCCAGCCACAGGTGCAGATCCTGAGCCACAGAGCCAGCACACCGCCCATGATTCATTGTTCATTATTAAGGCAAGGAGAGTTTTTTGTGAAGAAAGCTTTGGGCTTTTCAGTCCTAGCTGATGGTGTTTTTATCAGCCTGTGTTACTTTTATTTTTTGGTGTAGGTTATACACCAACTGCATTTGCTTCCAACTGCATTCCGCTGCTCGTTAACATACTGCACATGCTCCGTTTAAGGTGTCTGTTGCTGTTTCTGCAAATTTGTCGTTTAAAGGGCCCTCTCTGCCTTACCCAACGTTAAGCTGGATCCGTCTAGTTTCCAAAAAACACTCCTCTTAAATGACAGTCCTTGCCAGGGTGAGCATTATTGGCAAGATCTGCGCCTGTCTTTATCTAGGCAAAACGACATCCACCATCTGCAGTTCAACATTGCAGGAGAGCAAAAATAGAGGAGACGAGGTGGCCCGGAGACTGACTGATGGCAAACATGTGCTGTTTTTGTCTTGCTGAAGCCTAGATTGGGAGTACTGACAGGGATGCAGAAGAAAGTGCTTACTCTTTAAGAGTATTTCGTTTCACATTACTCTGACTTATCTGTGCAAAACAGCTTCCCAGGGCATTCAATTGAAACCAAGCATTTTAAGACAAGGGTGGCAAATCTGCATGCGCACTCAGTCCGGGTGCAATGTCTGGTGATCTTATTGCAATGTGAGAAAAAAAGTGTAGAGAACTTTGCTTTGTAAAACTGGAAAATATTGGGTAATGCATGCAAATACCAATGTATTTTACAAAGGGCAGCACAGTGGGACTATGGTTAGCACTGGGCCCTGGGTTCAATTCTGGACCTGGAGTGCTAAGTGCCGAGAGGATGTAAGTTCTTGTATTCGCACGGGTTTCCTCCGGGTGCTTTTACATAGAGAAAATAACAGTATAGACGAGAGATGGCATATCATTCACTGAACGTTTCTTCCAACATGAGTAAATACTGTAAGTCAGTGAAAACCACACATCATTTTTAGCGAATGCAGGTCAAAACCTTTTTGACCCCTGCCCTATCCAACACTCTAAAAAACAAAACATAAGACTGTTTTTTTTTAATGCTCGTTCGGGGGGTGGGGGTTGCTAGCTCCAACCCAATGTCTGTGCTGAGATTGTAAATAAAATGACTTAACGTGCAGGCAAGAAGGGAGCTCGGCGATTACCCGCGTCCCGAGTCCGTAGCTCCTGGAGTAGGAGAGCATGGAGAGATCATCGAACAGCCTCAGCACGGTGCGGCAGCGGCTGAGCTGAGCCGAGAACAGCAACAGGCTCTTCCCCAGCCTGGACTGTCCCGTCGTCTTCTGGGCAAGGGCACCCCCGACCAACTGGGAGCCATAACACAGTGTCCGGACCTGGACAAACACAAGAACAGCCCTGTTTTGGGGGCGTCTTGAATAGGCGCGTAGATAACTGGGCCACCGTATACACCTGTGTGATGTCAACCATAAAGAATTAAACGGTTGAATTTAAAATAAAATAAAGCACTATAAGGTATAATACGCCATTTCTAATCTCTACACATTCGGACGCAGATGTGATGTTTCAGTAAAATGAAAACACTAAGTTCCCCCGTAAACTCTTGATCGCAGCATTTCAGGTTGCATGAGCTGCAGTGCATTGTATAAGGGTAACACAGGACACGATATTGTTTCAATACTCTGTTGTCAATAATTAAATATGTACATGTTACTAATCCTTACCCAAGATTATTTTTCTACTGAAACAAAAGTAACCGGAGTGACACTTTCAACATTAGTTCAAGGTACACGGGATTAGTTACAGAACATCCTGCGGTTAAACCTTAACTAGTTAATATCGTTACACACTGTGGCCTCGAACGTCATCTACTGTAAAAACAACCCTGCAGAATCGAAGCTATGGTGCAAAAAGGGACATTTTTGAAAGGTGCATTATCGATAGTAACAATAAAACAACGAGTTCACTGAACAAAATTTAAGACAGTCGAATGATTTTTTTTCGTATTCGAATTGTTGTAAATTGTTACACTAATGTTGTGTAATAGGTTTGACAACGTTTTTTTTTTTAAATCTCGGCGAGAAAGCGAGCGCCACATGTAAAAGTGTTTATCTGGTCAGACAGTAGACTGATAAATCTCCTAGGCTTTTGTTTTGAAACAATACATAACACTTACCACTTTGTCTCTTCCTCTGTACGACTCTAGAACGTGTACTAAGCTTTCCAGCGAGCACTGCATGTTTACCTTGAGTCCGGTGCTTGAGTAATCTTAACAGATTACTCTATCCCAGTCAGTTTTTTAGAATACTAAATGAAAAAATATATATCAGCTCCGCTTTATAGACAACATACCGGTACAGAGCTGGAAGAACGCGCTTCGCGCTCTTCTTATTTAGTCGTTATGAATTTCTATTTAAACCAAAACATCAAATAAAACATGAACAAAACAACAGCGATCAATCCAATCAAAGAGCCAGTACATGTCTCGGACTTTACACACATTAGATCAACCAGGAAGTGTTTCATCCTTGCAGGGCGGAATGAAAAGAGAACGCACCAATCATAGCCAGAAAAGCACTGACTGACAGCATCCTGTGCCAATAGTTTGCAAGCGTGGGCGGCCGGGGGGGGGGAATAATACGATTTAAACGTACAAACAACAGCGAACGTATTTACTAATATAAATGCGTGCGTTTGATATTCATACATTCGTTAAACAACATAAATACCTTTAAGGTTACAGATTTAGAAGCGTGACATGTTTAAAAATCAAATATAATCAGTGTTATACTCTAAAGGTGAAAATGTCATGTTAATTAATTGTGTCCAAAAGGCCTATGGACTTTTTATACAGCTACTTGTATTTTTGTAACCTCAGAAAGGTAGAAATGTTGTTGAGTAAGGCCTAAGGGAGAGCTATCAGCAATGACTCCATATACTTTATTGAAAAAATGACAAATAGTGACAGTGACAAAGACAATCACATCAGGCTTTTGCATGGAAAATGCAGAAAAACATTCAAATCAAGATCAAATTACACAAACAATATACTACACAGCTAACAACATTGCGGCAATTTTGCATTAATATACAGAGAGTACATCACCTTTCTTTTAAACAATTGACCTACACTATCTGAAGCAATTGACAATTACAATACCTAAAGACAAGAAATAGAATTAAACCCTTCCCTGACATTATTCGTGTGAGTGACAAAGTCTATAACAACTTAACCACTGCTTGTGACTTACAAAAGCCTTCTGTTGTGTATGAGAGCAGTGACAGTATCTTAACTACATAAACCAATGTTCTTAGAGTAAGAATGATGAATTAGGCAGAGCTCCTGGGTCTGTCGTAGCTGTGCAGGGGCTCTCTGAACAGCAGAGAGATCTCAGGGCCTCTAATGATATACCACACTACAGAATCCCCACGGAGATGATTAAGGTCAGGTCAGTGACTCTGGGGTCCTATAAATATCATAGGGGTTCCTGCCCCTCTGGGGCTCTACAAGCATTAAAGTTACCTTCAAATTGACAAATGCAATGGAAACTGTTTACAGTGGAAATTACATTTTATTTATTTCCAAAGAAAGAGAAACATGATTCTCCACCAATAAGACCAAGTTTAAGATAGCCTACTTCAATTTCCTTAATTTTAACTGAAAGGCAAAAAGAATGAAAAAAATACAGTTCCGGCTGAGGACATACACCCCCTCCTTGGTGAATTTCCTACAGAATATACCTTAAACGATCTTTCAGAAGCAACTGGAAAACTCTTGTCGGAGTTTCTTCCTAGATCCAGTTGAAAAGACGACAAAGTCTTCGGGCACACACGGCCCCTTTGCTTTGAACGACTTGCTCACAACGCCCAGCCCAAATCGCGCTGCGCGAATACAAGCGTCACTACGGCCCCGCTGCCCGTGTGTGTGCGCGGCCTGGCTCGCCCAGCCTCAATCTCTCCCGGGTTAAAGGTTCCAGTTGGTCGGGCTCTCCCACCCTGTTTCCGTGATCGCACAACTGACTCCTCCTGCCTCTCGTATTCCGGGCCATGGACGCAACCATAATCGTCCAAAATCATCATTTTTAATAGCGGTAGATCACAGATCAGACACTGGGGAGGGAGAGAAGCAAGGGCTGGATCTGGATCTGTAAGTACCGGTCAATAGGAATTGCTTATTGTGGTGTTCATAGCCTATATGCTCAGCGTCCGGTAACACTGAGAATACACTGGAGCCTATGGGGCTGACAATGACTTGATATTTGATGAAAGAAATGAATGGGCTATTTCCCTGCTTGGTTGTTTTAAAACCCCTCATTAGGGCTTCAACTTACTCCCTGCCCTGTTTCGTTTTTCAGTACCCCCACAGTCGCCATCGGCTGTCAATATCTTGAAACGTATTTATTTTTTAAAAAAAGACACGATCGCATTTTCAGTGATCTGTTTTAAAAAAAATATAAATGATGAGAAAATCGACTGATCAGACTCGGCGTAATGATTTAAGTCCTGGATCAAGCGTGAGTCTATACGTTTTTTTTTTTTAAAAAAAAAAGCTGGGTGCGATACTTTTGAGTTTAATAAGGCAAGGCTCTTGCTATGAGACTGTCTTACTGTAGTACAAAGACGGGAATGGTCACGGTTTTATTTTGGCAACATTCACATCTCCTGTGCAGTCGTGTAACTGCCGGTTCCGTGTTTCTTTCACTTCACATAAATAAAGCTGCTGTGCAAATTTAAAGCATTTTTTAAAAACAAATTCGGTGAGTCCACTGCTGCCGACTGCGGAACAGACCTAAACACAGGCACACCTCTCCCCCTCCCCTCCCCTCTCTTCCGAAAAAGTCCAAAAATAGGAGAACCACGTCATTCATTCAGTTAAAAACTGAGATATGTCGCTCCCATCCTCCCCCCATCTCACCTGAAAAGGACTGGAATATCCATTTCCGTCTTTTTGTTCTGAGCCATGTGTTTACGATAGGTCACCTGAAAAGAATCCTAAAAGGAACGAATTAAACGCAATATGTAAAGTTTAGATGGATGCAATCGAAAGAAATCAATACCTGATGAGGAGTGCATTTCTCATCCATTTCTGTAGCTAACCGGGTGGAGTGGCATTTTGTGGACAAATCGTAGCAGATACAGACGGCAAGAAGGTGCTTGGTACCTTTGTGTCTGGAGTCATCAGCGTAATAGCTTTTTGGAAGCAGTTATTTCGTAATTAATTAAGCTACTTGATTATTAACGGCGTGGAGTTGGTGGTTATTTTCATTTTTTTAAGAACAAAGTAATTGTGAGTGGTCTTTCTTAATTTAAACTGTTTCGATAACTAGATTGAGAGGTCTTCGGCCCCAATCTCAAGCAACACTGCCTATGGTTTATGGACTGGTTTAGCGACGTTACATTACACTTTGTGTGTTACTATTGATATGTGGCTTTTTGTGAAAATAAAGGGTTACCTTAATGTCTACCTGCCTGGGTAGAAATAGAGATTGCATCTTTTTTTATTAATGAACATGTATAGAAAATACCTCATATTTTATACAGATTATGGGCTGTCATAGAGCTTTTACTAATGAAAGGCCTTCATTCTAACCTTTACTTTAGACTGTGTTCGGCAACAGAGACAAAGCATTCACTGGATTTTTATTCTGCGCTCAAGGGTTCATCTTAAACTGAGGTCACTGCTGAATTGATTTTGCGTTGCTCAGCTGTTCCTCCAGTTGATACTGATTAAGGTCACAGGCCAGCTCTGCAGATAGGTTTGATGTGTCACTGGTGGAGGTCTGACGCACAAACCCACAGGTTATTAAGACTAATTATTGGAATATTTCCTAAATAACTTTTTTTTTTAAATGTAGAGCCATTCATCTGACATCATCTCAAAGTGATGCACACAGAAAAACAGAGACAGGTTTCTCTGCTCTCCTCCCCACTGATAGCTGATGTGTGGTGAGCGTTCTGGCGCACTGTGGATGCTGCACATTGGTGGTGGTGGAGAGGAGAGGAGTCCCCATTACCTGTAAAGTGCTTTGAGTGGAGTGTCCAGAAAAGCACTATATAAGTGTAAGCAATTATTATTATTATTATTATTATTATTATTATTATTTGAAGACAAGGCTGAAGGTGTTGACCGGTATGGGCTGGGAGATCATTCCAAATGTTTGGAGAAGAACAGAAAGCAAGTCTCCTGGTGCTCAGCGCTTTGTATGGAGAGCTGGAAGAAGGCCAGAGAGCGAAAGGCACAAATGATGTTTAGGTTGTGTAGGGAGTAGGAACCAAACCATTCAAGCCCCTTAAGGTGAGCAGAAGTTTTTTTTTAATTCTGAAATCCACACGGAGCCAGTGCAAGGAAACTAAAATGGGTGATATATGCTCCTGCGTTGTAGTTTTGTTTAAAATCTGAGCGCTGGAGTTCTGAATGTGCCGCTGTTCGTTAATAACATGTTTGGGTACACCAGTAAGCACTGCATTACAGTAATCAAGCCTGGAAATGCCCAAAGCATGCATTAGCTTTTCTGCATCAGACCGGGAAAGAGATGTTCTGATACAGACAGTTGCAAGGATGAAAAAAATAATGCACACGTGAGTTTAAAATGTGAAGCTCAGGTCAGAATTACTGCAAGAATCCTCACTTGAGTACTTAGACTGAGTTAGGGAACATCAGTTGTCAAACTAAGATGGACACATTTGCAGAATTGATCAGAAGAGCCAATCAGTATATTAAGTCTTGTGAGATTTCAGATGGGAAATGTTTCAGCATCTAAACAGTGTGACAAAGTGTATAGTACTTGATTAATGTCAGGCTTTCTGTGAACTTACATTTGGGTGAAATTGAAATGAATAAAAATGAAAGATGATGCCACACCTACAAATTTCTGACTCAGTGGAGACCTTGATACTAAACAGAATTTGACCAAAGACAGACCCTTGTGTGACACCTGATATGGCCATGTGTTTAGACAAAGAACAACTGATTTGCTTAGATTTTCTATCAGATACGATTTAAACCACACCAAGATAGTTCCTGTAACACCAATGACTCTTCCTAATTTTTTTCCAAACAAAGCTGGATGATCAGCAGTGTCAAAGGAAATACTTACCTCCAACAGGACAAGAGTGGCTAAAAATCAGTAATTAGCAGATCAGTAACCCATTAAGAGCTGTTTGTATACTAGGCATTATTCTGAAGCTAGATTGAAAAGATGCATACATCTGATTTTAAAATAATTGATCTTGGAACTGAAAAACTGCTGCCAGTTCTAGAACATTTGTCAAAAGTGGTCAGTTAGATATTGGTCAGTAATTACTGGATACTCTGGAGTCTAAATGCGTCTTTGACAGAGGAATGATAACTGAAGATTTAAGGGCTGAATTATAAAACAATTCAGACAATGAACAGAGAATTTTCAAATTTGAGAAAAGCAGGTCAGTAACAATAGGAACATGGATCATGGCAAGTAAATGAACAGATAGGTCAGTGTCCCTATAGCTACGTGCAAGTTTATACCCAACAGATTTCATAGAGCAGGTTGTAGTACCAAGGAGAGTGGCATATAAATCTACTGACTTTCACCCTAAGGTACCTAAAGAGCTTCATATGTAAGATTTAGCCAACTTAACCCACCATTGAAGTACAGCAGTCAGTTGGGTGAGGCACCAACCCCATTACAAAGAATGTCAGGAGACATGAGACATTTAAGGGAATTAAGGGCTGATTTTACAGATGTCAGGTTTTGCAAGCTCAGAGTGGCCACCAGGGTTAATAACCCTACCCTTGCAAACAGAGTCATGGGATCTTTAACGACTGAGTAGCCAGGATCTCTATTCAACATCTTATTGGAAAGACTGCACCTCTTTAATAGAAATGCACATTGTTCTGATGTCTCTTTGTTCCTGTCATGGGGTTGTGCTGCAGCTGGGTTTAGAAATGATGCCTTATTTAATAAACTAATATGCGTTAAACCCTTTCCAAAAATAATAATGGGTTCCAATAAGAACAGAGTGCTGATTGTGATGTTAATCCCAGCGGGAACCAGTCTTGAATCATGTGGATTTTTGGTATTATGGCTCAGATGAAGAACCTGTGCAAACTGTAATGTCCCATGATGCCCAGCATTGTTCTTTATCGTGGGTTGAATAACACCAGTCATTCAAAGCAGGGTTATCAGTATTCTCTCCTTCTTTCCTTGGCAAAAGATCATTCCTTGCGAGTAGATAAGCTCTCTTGTCTAATGTCTAAGTTATGTGTTGTGTGCTATCTGTGTATTTTCCAATCAGAACTGCTGTGCAAAATTGTAGTAATGTGTTCCTGAGAGACATAATCACATGCCATTACTCAGCAGATCAGATTTTCTGAATAGGTCTCAGCATGAATATACCTATGCCAACAGCTGCAGAATCACATGTAACCTGTTTTACTGGAATCTTGTCGCTTTTTGCAGTGTAATATTTTTGTATTTTTAGCATAGGTGTTGTTACCAGGTTTAACAGCTGCTTCAGTAAAAAGTGGTTCTGTTTTCATTTTTACTTGTAGCACTCTCATTTCTAATAGTACTCAAGGATGAAATGATCATCATTTAATTTTAGACATAACTTTGGCTTCTCTGTGGACTTTTGTCCAGAAATCTGCTGTATTGATCTACTGAAATACTGATTTCGGTTACCATGGCAATCAGAGCTCAACACCTTTGGTTGGTTTGTACCAAGATGCCGTTTTGTACTTTAAAATGGTGTCCTTACTTGTTCTAAACAATTGCTTAAATTCAGTGGACTGATTGAGATTCCTTACTTTCACATTCTCCGATATATTTTGGGATTCGTAGGTTTCTGTTCTGTGCTGAATAAATGCAATGGGAAAATGGTTGTTGCATCTTGAATATATTGCGTCACTATAGTTATCTTGTGTATTCCTGGAGCTGTAATTACATAAAAAAAGAACATGACAGCTCTAAGTAAATAAAAACTGTCTGCACACAACCATGGAATTTTCTGAATTTCCTGAGAACAGAGAGAGAGAGTGTGAGGTGTACCATGAGAACTGAACACCTTGTTAAATAGTGTGCTTTGTGAGTTTCGATTTCAGATGTCAGATTTCTTCAGGAAGCAATGGAGTCAAAGTATTTCCAGGGAATTAAGAGTACAAATGTATGTTTTTTTTTGCTTGATTCATTTTCTGGAGGAAAAAACATTGCATGAGTCAAACCTTTAAAAAGAATCTGTCAAAGAATACATTTTTAACCGTTAATGGCCTGATATTTTGTTTTTGTGAAGTAAAAGCAGGATGTACTCATTTATTGTAGGCCATCATTCACACCCGGCTCTTTGGGAGACAAACTCCAGTCTATGTCCACTTCAGTTCTGCAGTGGAGTTTCATTACTTACTGAAAATCTTCCCTCCCTTCCCTCCCTTTTCAAGCCCAGATTCATAGTGTATAGACTTTTTTCCCCACTGGTTAGTCTTTCAAGTCCTGACAAACCATCCATCCATTTTTCAGCCACTGTATCCAATTCAGGGTCACAGGGGAGCTGGAGTCTATCCCAGTGGGCAACGGACATAAGGTGGGATACACCTTGGACAGGACGCTCGTCCATCACAGGGCCGACACAGATACCAACACAGAGACTTACATGTACACACTCGCACCAGGGCCAGTTTTCCCAGAAGCCAGTTAACCTACCAGTATGTCGTTTTACTGTGGGAGGATACTGGAGCACCCGGAGGAAACCCATATGAACCCAGGGAGAACGTGCAAACTCCACACAGATAAAAACACAGGTCTGAACCCCAGCGCTGCGAGACAGCACTGCTCACCACATCACTGTGTAGCCCCTGACAAACCAAAAAGGGTAAATTCATAGCACAGAACAGGAAGGTGACCTTTACAATCCACTAGCCTTATGAGATTTTTGCTGCTGAACGGAAATGCTCACTTTCCAAGTAAGAGGGTGTGAACTAGAGCACTAAAAAGGCACTGTTCTGATCAACTAGAAATTCATCACTTTATTCATTGGTTGTGTCCCTCCCTGACTGTCTGTTTCCCCATATTTTGCAGGTTGCCAAGTCTGGTTGAGGCTTGTTGGCCGGTTAATGAATAGAGTAAAGAGGATCAAACTTGAAGACGAAACAGAAGGTAGTTGGAAAAGGTACAATTCTTTGAGTCAGGATTCTGAAAGAAGGTGGGAGGGTATCAGTGGAAGGTAGGGGAGGGGTTGCTTTAGAAAAGTGCAGGTGTAGATCCATTTTAAAATAAGACTAAGGCATAATGTAGCAAATGCTTGAGCTTGAGCGATCCCACTCCTCTTGGGATGATATCTATAGACATTTGAATTTTAAGATTGATTCCAGTTTTTCTGCGTGCACTGAACATCTTTCAGGAAGAGTGAAAGCAATCGGGCGATTTCATTCTTTAGTTTGGTTTACACAGTGAAAGTAGCTCAAATCCCAGCCTCAAAATAATCACAGGCACCTCTGTATAAAACAGCTTAGTGGTGAACGACTGCAGATCTTACTTATGGCAGAAATCTGGATATTTAAGAGTACTGGAAAAGTTAGGAAAGCGAGCGGAAGTCATTCAGTCCTGTGTGTTACCTAGATGATCTGAGGATCTCATGCAGCCATTTCTTGAAAAGTGCCAGGCGATCAGCTTCAAAGACATGGCTGGTTAACTGCGTTCCAGAGTTACACGACCTTTTGGGTAAAGAAATCCATCCCATCCTCCATTTTAAATAATCTTCCAGGTCTTTATGTCCTGAAGAAGTCTGCTAGGCTGATGCTATTGTATCGGGACACCTCGTAGTCTTCTTTATTCACTAAAAAGCTTCACTGATTTTAGGACTTTCCCTGAAGTCCAGGAGTGTGTCTGGTGATGTGTTTCTGTGTGGATGTCTGTGCTTCCCAAGCTCCCCTGGGCCACGTGAGGAGTGCCGGTCTGCCAACCTCTTGTCTCCTCTGGGCAGTTGTGCAGCAGTCAGGATGACCGCAGTGGACGAGCTCTCGGACAGCACGGAGGTGGTGGAGATGGAGGACGTTCCCTCCCAGTTTTTCGTGGAGAAGCACTCTTGGGACGGCTTGCGGGACATCATCCACAGCAGCCGGAAATACTCGGGCATGATCGTCAACAAGGCGCCACACGACTTTCAGTTTGTGCAGAAATATGATGACTTGGGACCCCACTCGCATCGGCTGTACTACCTCGGTGAGCCTTGGGGGCGCCCTAGTCCTATCCCAGCTGGGAGTGGGGTCCTGTGGGACTCTTCCTTGATCACCGACATTTCCTTAGGTCGGCGTTTAGGGACTTCTCCAGACACTCATTACTTGTCCTCTCCTTTCATTCAGGTTTGACCTACAGGACCAGTGAAAATTCGCTGCTCTGCTCTGAAATCTTTATACGTGATCAGCTCATAAAGCCTCTGAGGAGTGCCTTTCTGTGTGAGACTAATCATCTCGTGCAATTTGAGATCGAAAACCGTGAAGTGAAACTGAGTGGTTCTGACTGTGCAGATTGCGTGAAATTATTTCATAATCAGCAGAAGACACACTTCATACTTTACACCAGCTGTATGCAAAGCTGCACATTTTTCAGGAAGCTCATCACGTGTGCAGGAAGGAAGGCTATAATAAAGCAGCACTATGTAGAGATGTTAGGAAGGATAGGAAAGAGGTAGTCGATCAGTGTCATTGTGATTGGCGCAGAAGTTTTGCTTATCCTGCAATAAGAACATTGATGTTTTCTTAGATTGACCTTTTGTTTACTTGACCCCGCATTCATGTGTCATTTCTATTTCCCGTCATCCAGGAATGCCCTATGGGAGCAGGGAAAATTCACTGCTTTACTCTGAAATTCCCAAGAAGATTAGGAAGGAGGCCCTCTTGGTTCTGTCCTGGAAACAGATGCTGGATCATTTTCAGGTACAGTACTTTCTCAGTCGGGCCTCTTTGGGTTTCTGTGCTTTTTCACTAAGGAAACCTGAATGATGTCTATCAAAAGACTAAAAAATACACTGTTTTGCTTAATTGTTAAAAGGTGTATGTAGTGCCATCTTTTACTGTAGACACAGAGTAGACGGCATGTGTTTAGTTTGCAAGTGCCATACCTGAAGATGCAAATCCCGTACCCTATACCTTCAGCCTGCTGAGTCTGACCTTAAATCTGATGCGCTATCGGAAAAATATCAGCCCCTGTAACCAAACACTAACGGCCGACTTAAATCCCTTGACTCCCTTACGGACTGGTTGAGTTTTTGTAGCGGTGGAGATAGGAGAAGTCTTGTGTGATTCGGGATTTCTGAAGAGGATGCAGATGTAGTGGGGGGGGTTTAATTGTCCTGTGTTTTCCTGCTTCTCCGATCTCCTTATTACTTGACTTCCAAAGACGTGCTGGCTGTGACAGTCGGTGTCTGGAAATTGTCGGTGTGCGCGTGCGTCACAGCGAGCAGACCCCTCGTCCGCGGTGCAATCCCGTCTTTCTCAGTGTGCTCCCATGACAGGCTCCGGTTTGCCATAGTTCTTACCAGGAACGAGCAGCTCTTGGATAAAGGATGGATGATTTGAATCCCCTTTCCGCTCCGCTAAAAATAAGGGACAATGATACTTTATCTTCTTATTTTCATTTTGGAGTACTGAAATGGCTCTTTAGATTTACTGGTTGATTAAATAGATTGTACAGTTGAGTTTTGGGTGTCTCCATCTCTGTTGCCTTTTATTAGTAGTATACTACAGTACTCCCTTATGTGCTGATTTCTTTAAGCAGTGCAGCTTAGAAAGATCACAGTAATAAAAATACAATGTATTATAAATACATTTTAGAACTATCTATGTGCAGTACATGTAGGAATATCTGCAGTCTATTGCAGGAGTTCCCACTGTGCAGGAAAGGAGACAATAATAGGAGGTCAATTCATGCACTCCTACACACCCTGCGCACTGTACAGTGGTGAGTAGGTGTGATGCACAGGCAGATCGTGATCTCGTGTGGAGGCCCAATGGTGAGATTGAAAGAAGCATCAGGTGATCAGAGAGATGATGCAGATCTGCTTGCTGGCTCTGCCCCAGGGAACCATGGGATAGATGGAAGAGGGCACAGGAGTTTGAAGAGCTGGTGGGGGGGGGAGGGGGATGTGGGAGGTGTGACCAGTAGCCAATAGAGGACAGAAGAGTCATGCAGGAGGAAGCAAAGGAGAACACTGAGTCATGTTTGGGGGTCCTTTGAACGGACATGAGAGGGGAGAGGAAGCCACTGGAGTTGATAAAGCAGGGGGGGTCACTTGAGAGGAGGGAGGCAGAGACCTTGTGAGATGGGGAATTTTGAAAAAGCAGAAGAGGGGAAAAAATGCAGAAGTAAATAAACTTGTCTGGCGTCTTGTGCAGTAGCCTAGACTGTACAGACCTAGGCCCTGGCCTGTCTGTCCCATCGATCATGGAGAAGGTTTTGATTCAGGAGGTGTTCCTCAGAAGGAAGGGTCAGGGACTGTGCCAGGGTAGAGACATGCACACGGGAAGAAATGAAGGCGGCCAAAGTTAAAAACGTGAATCACCAGACTGGCTTGGACTGGAGTGAGCACTGGCATCCCAAGAACACATGCTTAGCTTATAAACAACCCAGCGCCCCAGTATAGTGATGGGAACACTATTCTGTAAAAAAGGCCCTGTCCTTTGGATGAGACATAAAACCAAGGTACTGACTCTCTGTAGTCTTTAGAAATTCCAGATTGTTTTTTGAAAAGAGTGGGGATATTAACCCTGGTGTCCTGGCCAAATGTCCCCCTAGTCTATATTAATCATGGCCTCCTAATAAACCCTATCTCTGAATCGGCTTAATTACTCTGTTCTCCTCCCTGCTGAAAGCCAATGTTGTCTGCCGTCAAACATTGTTGCTGGTGGAGCGGAGTGGAGTGTCCGCTATATAAGTGTAAGGAATTATTAATTACGGATTAAAACGCAGACGGTTGCATTAATGAGCACTTATCTCGGTTTCTTTCTGAGTTCTCAAATCCTGTACGTAGCTTAGCGCTTTCTATGCTGCTGGGTTTTCAGTTTGAGCCACTGGGGAAAACTGCAGGTGTCTTCCTCGGGTGCTGTTTCGGGTCGGTATGTATTGTTCGTGCCAGAGCAGAAGCAAGTTTTTAGAGCGCTGTAAAATGAAACGTTAGCAATGCTTTGCCCTTTCTAAGGCGACCCTGAAAGCTTCATGCTGGGATGGGGGAGGGTTGAGAGCAGGTGGGGAAACTGTATGGAGAAAGGGATGCAAAGCAGGACCGTGACTGTGGCCTTGTTGGGCGGTGTGTAAGTGCCGTTTTGTCTTCGGCCAGGCCACGCCTCACCATGGCGTCTACTCCCGAGAGGAGGAGCTTCTGCGCGAGAGAAAGCGGCTGGGAGTCTTTGGAATCACCTCCTACGACTACCACGCCCAGAGCGGCCTTTTCCTGTTCCAGGCCAGCAACAGCCTCTTCTACTGCCGGGATGGAGGGCACAATGGTTTCATCGTGAGTCTGCTGCACCGCCACCGTCACAGCGCCACCTGCTGGTCGGACCCTTCCAGTCCTCCAAGCCAAACCCTAGCACGGATGTAGCTGTAGCATTTTTACATGTTTTTCTTTGTCAATCTGACTCTGCACTTTACATGCCCAGCCTTGTGATTTAGTATTTTCGCTTCTTAAAATTAGATGTTTAGCTATTTTTGGTTTATTTTTTCTCTGTTGGGACAATTAAGGACCATTTTCTTTTACGTTTACAGCACGTTTTCCAAGCCCTTCTAATGCAGGGTGCCCTATGTTTCGACGTCTCATGCTGTAGGGTCTTGTGGGCTGTTTTAGCAGGTCTCTCCAATGAAGCCGGTGGAAATCAAGACTCAGTGCTCAGGGACTCGGATGGACCCCAAGATCTGCATGGGGGACCCCAGCTTCATTGCTTTCATCAACAACAACGACGTGTGGGTGGCCAACATCGAGACCGGGGAAGAGAAAAGACTGACCTTCTGTCATAAAGGTCAGGGTGCCCTGGGTTTGTGTGGGCGTGTCATCGTTCTCCGTGGGGGGGCGTAGCAGTAGTCTTTCCTCTGCTCATCAACCCTGTGTGTTGTCTTCACACCCTCACAGCGTCCTGCCCCACTTCATTACAGTTTCTCTCACCACAAAATCAGCAATAGTGATCTTCTCAGTCAACCTTCTGCTTGTTGTGTTTTCACATGAGTCCGCCCACTGTACCGAATGCACTAGAAGGTGATGATCACAATGGGAAGGGTGGTAAATAATAATAATAATAATGAATTGCTTTCACTTATATAGCACTTTTCTGGACACTCCACTCAAAGCACTTTACAGGTAATGGGGATCCCCTCCACCACCACCAATGTATAGCCCCCACCTGGATGATGTGATGGCAGCCATGGTGCACCAGTACACTCACCACACATCAGTTATCAATGGGGAGGAGAACAGAGTGATGGAGCCAGTTCAGAGATGGGGATTATTAGGAGGCCATGATTGATAAGGACCAAATGGGAAATTTGGCCAGGACGCCAGGGTAACACCCCTCCTCTTTTCAAGAAACACCCTGGGATTTTTAATGACTACAGAGAGTCAAGATTCTCATCTGAAGGACGGCACCTTTTTACAGTATAGTGTCCTTATCACCATACTGGGGCATTAGGACCCACACAGACTGTAGGCTGAGCGCCCCCTTGTGGCCACAGTAATACCTCTTCCAGCAGCAACCTTAGCTTTTCCCAGGAGGTCTCCCATCCAGGTACTGCCCAGGCTCACTCCTGCTGAGCTGAGGTGATTTGCCAGTTGTGAGTTGCAGGATGATATGGCTGCTGGCCATATCACTGTAATGGCTCTCCAGACACAGCGCATTCTGAGTGGTCAGATCTCTCCATCATAAACATCTGGCAAGCTGATTACATGGATAATATTGTAAAATGCACTCTGTACTGGAAGACTAGGGAAACTGAACTGCAGTGTTCATTAATATACACCCTGTCTCAATGCTCTCCTGTCTCAGTTTATGCTGAGTCGTCCTGGGTACCAGGGTTCTGGTAGAGTTGGAAGGATTTAGGAAATGTTCATGTCTGGTAGCATGACTTTAAATTATTTAAATCTAGAGCAAGAGCTGGCCTTTTCTCAAAGTTCCTATTATAAATAGAACATTGTTATGGACAGTGCATGAGTAATCCATCACTGTCACTTCCTGTGTTGCTGTGTTAGTGCAGGATGCTGAGTTAAAAAGGTGAAATTATTAGAGAGAAGCCGGCAAAACTGTTTTTTTTTGCATCTTCTTAAATGAAGTGGCTGTTATTTTTGTTTTTGTTTCCCAGTTCGATCACGTTAATTTGGTTTCTGCGTATTTCCCTCCCACTTGCTGAGGAAAACTGGAGGGATGTTTCTTGAAAAATTAGAAGAACATTTTAGAAAAATATCTGCTATAGTGTTCATACAGGCGTGGGGCGTCACTTTGTTTCTTGTTAGTTTGTTTTTATTGAGTATGGTTTACTGTAGTATTTGTATTATTCTTATACTTCATTTTTATGGTTATTATTAAAGCATACTGTGTGTGGTGTCCTTCTCTTCTGTCTCCTGCAGGTATCAATAACGTAAAGGATGACCCCAAGTCTGCGGGAGTGGCCACGTTCGTCATCCAGGAGGAGTTTGACCGCTTCACAGGCTACTGGTGGTCCCCAGCTGCCCCAGAAGGTAAGACACCCCGAGACTTGGGCAGGCAGGAAGGAATCCTGCACTGGGCCGGTACTGGCAATGTGGCTCGGGTCAGAACATAAACTGTTTAAGTTGCTGCATTGGTCCAAAAACCACTCTCTGTGGATTAGGTTAGGGGCTCTACGTCATTGTTACCCTGGTCCCTTATCGTCGACATCTCTTAATTTCTTTCCCTCCCGGAATGTACTGGAGTACAGGAAACCCATTCATGGAGCAGTTTCAGGAAAAGCTGGCTGAGCAGTGCTTAGAAAATGGATAAAACTGCTGACATTTTACTGCAAGGCTAATGTGGCACTGTGTGGAGCAACGAACCGCTCTTTCCTGTAGTCCGTCTTCATGATTGGAGCAAGAGAGAGCGGCGGAAAACAAGGAGAAGATAAAATACAAGCACTCAGCAGCTGCAGAGTTCAAAGAAAGCTTCTTTGCCTCAAGAAGTGATTATCTTGTGCTTTATTCTGTATTTTGTTTTGTTTGTACTTGATTTTAGTTACATTGATATACAGTATTTTTTTTAATTCACAAAAAAAACACAAAATACAAGTAGAGGGGGACTTTTATATAATTTCTATTTGTCTACTTTGTCTTTGTTACTTTCACGTTACTGGGAGAGTGTCTCTACATATCTTTCCCATTTTGAACATCTTTTTACCAATCCACGTTGTTAGTGCTTCTTTTTAGCTAATTATTTTGGGTGGTTCAAAGGAAGTTGAAGCAAGGAGAACCTGAGGTTTTTTTGATGTATTAGAAGAGGAGTCTGTATTACAAAAAGTATGCACCTTTGTCCCGTATGTGTGCTTCCCTGAGGGTGTCATGATCACCCTCTCTCAAAGATCAAACTAACCTGAACAAACGTAATGCTTTTTTTATGGAACTAGGGTATGTGACTTCATACATATTAATGTACATATAAGTGTGCAGTCCAGGAAAACAAGAAAGGAAGGAAGAACTGTCTGAGTTGCCTGCAGTTAAAGAGAGTTCATTAGCTGATGACTTCATCCTTGTTAACATACAAAATATAATTTTAGCATAAGTTGGCGGTTAAAAGAATTGAACTTGGTATTGCCCGACATCTGAGTGTTCGTTACTCTTCATGTTGTAGGAAAGGATTCCAAATAATGTTACATTCATATATTCTATCCTGCAGCCAGTCAAGAGACGCATGGTCAGTCAGTCTTGGCCTCGGTTTAGTACTACTGTAAGTGGTGAATGGATGTCCAATTTAGAGAACTAAAGAGAGGGGGACACACTGTTGGGAGAGTGGATGACTGCACAGGTTTCTATTTCAAATCCGCCAGACGTGCATCCTGTCTTTGTCACTAACAACAGAGGTCTGGGTGATGTCTGTGAGGCAAAAGAAATGCAGGCCTGACGCTCCCCTTGTCTCTCTCCCTGGCAGACTCGGACGGGGGGAAGACTCTCCATTTGCTCTACGAGGAGGTGGATGAGTCCGAGGTAGAGATCATCCACGTGCCCTCACCTGCGCTGGAGGAACGCAAGGCCGACGCGTACAGGTACCCCAGAACAGGTGAGCCCGCAAAATCTGAGACTCCCCTGAAGGAGATAAGTCGCAGAAGAACCAACTGGGACTGCAGATTTCTCCATGATAGAGGAAGAATGGCCAGTGGTCTAAGTATTGTTTAAAAGGGCATTAGACATGAAGTGTCTTCATCAATACTCAAACAATTTTCTGCAAATTCAGTATTGTACACCTCCTCCATCCCCACCACTAAAGCAGCAATAATACTTTTTCTCAATCAGCCTTCTGCCTGTTTCCACGTGTGACTCAACCCACACGACCCACAGTACCGAATGTACGCGAAAGTGGTGCTCACAATGTGAAGGGTGATCGGTAATAACCATCCTGTTTCAGTGCTCTCCAGTCTAGGTTATATTCTGAGTGGTCAGATCTCATCATCGTAGACTTCTATCAAGATGGTTGCATGGATAATATTGTCATACTCTGTACTGGGGTCTGAGCCTTATCTGGATGACTAAGAAAAGTGGTGGTGTCTTGTCATTTCTTTTTATGTCATGTGCCAAAGGTTTTCGTATTTACCGATTTCAGCAGTAAGTCTAGGGTTTTCCATCACTTCGTGGGGCTGATTTTGCATTCCAGTCACTGCAGATTGACAACCTGGTTTCATATTTATTAAAGGGACTAGTAGGGATCAGTGCTGCAGAATTATGGCATCGTTGACTGTTTGACCAAACTGGCTGTGTCCTAGTTTCTAAAACTCTTGTGGCTCAGTTCTATACCTCTTATTAGATCTGGTTTGATTGATCCTCTGGTGTTATCTGTGCTTGACTTGTCTGTCTTGCTGACCTGTATTGGGTGCTAAAAGGCCTTTTGTTTCTTTCCAGGGAGCAAAAACCCCAAAATCTCTCTCAAACTCGCCGAGATCAAGACCGACCACCTTGGGAGAGTAAGATCTTGCAGATTATCTTCTATATATTAATTGCTCAGCAGATGCACACATTTATAATTATGCCATTTTTGCAGCCCGCTGTCCCTTTTTCCCCACACAGAAATGTCATTGGCTTGAGCACATGGCAATTAATATTCTAAACCAATCCCACTTCAGTGTTTAACCTGAGTCTGCCTGGAAGTGCACAGTGGCCTTATCCTGGCTGGAGCTGAGGATGGTGACGAACAAAGCTCTTACTCAGCCTTTCCCAGATGTCCTCTGTTCTTGTTTATGTCCTTTTAAAATTGAAAAGCTCAGCTTGCATCAGGCCCCTTCCCAGATGATCAGTCTAAACAGTGCGGCCTCTGTCTCACTCTGTCACGCAACACTTTGGTTTCTCCATGTGTGTCTATGTGAACAAGATTATTCATTTTCTGTTTTTCTCATATGCAACTATTCCCCAATTCCACAACACAGCAGCACAGCAAAGCAGTTAATGTCTAAAACTGGGCCGCTGTGCTGTGGCACTCCTCTTCAGACATGGTGCTGTAAAGGAACAGTCAGAACCTGTCAGAAATAGTCGAAAATGAATGAGTAATGTGCAGTCATACAGGTGCCCAGTCATGGGTACTTACGATGTACAACTTGAAGGAGGGATAATTTAATATTGCAAAGTACAGTTAAGATCAGTGCACATACAGGGGTAGGTAGTCTGTAGTGGTGAATAAAACTGAAGCACAACAGGTAGGAGGAGCTACAGTGTCCAAATGCAGGCAGACCACCCTTCATGCAGTTGTATTGAAAGAAGGACTGAAAACGGGGAGCTCCTGCAACACGAACCAATACACTGTTCTTGGAATAGATTTCCGACAGCTGTACTGGTATGCTGAACTGGGGCATTGTGCTGCTTATCCGGTTGCTGGTCTTCAGTGTGCGATCACTGGATGAGCACCCTTGTGCAGTGCACTGGGGGGGCTGAGGATCATGGGTAATCGGCTGTAACGTGCCGTTCCAGATCGTGAGCACACAGGACAAGGAGCTGGTCCTGCCTTTCACCGTGCTGTTCCCTGGAGTCGAGTACATAGCCCGGGCTGGCTGGACAAGAGATGGCAAATAGTAAGTCCTGTTCCTTTCTGGGGAAAAAAAAAGATATTTTGGTATTTTTGGCAGTTTGGCCTGCATCTGTTGGGAATTCTGGCATAATGCTGGTGTTTCTACTATGAGCAAGTGGATAAAATGAACACTTGTGCTTCATTAGATAGGCAGGGGCTCTGCCCGATTTCCATATCCACACAGATCGCAGATCAGTCTGTCCCTGACCTTCTTCCCCCAGCGCCTGGGCCGTGTTCCTGGACCGGAGTCAGCAGAGGCTCCAGCTGGTCCTGCTGCCCACTGCCCTCTTTATTCCCGTCTCCGAGGACGAGGCGCAGCGGCGGGAGAGCGTGGAGGCCGTCTCCGAGAACGTCCACCCCTTCGTGATCTACGAGGAAGTCACCGACATCTGGATCAACGTGAGTCTGTGGGGGGCTGAGCAACTGGAGTCACCAGGGCAAGCCCTCCCTTCGTGGGCCAGACTGAAAATCACCTGGGATGGAGAGTGTAGGAGCCTGTGCACAGCTACGGCCAAGCCACTGAGCCTTCTTGGATCTTACCCCTGTTTGTCAAGTCTGGCACTGTAACTGTTGTTAAATGTCTGATTGCCGCCCCATCCGAAAAGGGTGATATATCATCATGTCTCAGGGTGCAGTTTCTTATTGACCCATTATTTTGAATACCCGAAGAAGGCTCCACAGCCAAAACATTGTTTCTTTCCTTTACCTTTCAGCATGGGTTGAACCTTTACCCATTCCATTATTCTGCATGCTTTACAAGTTCACTATTGAAATATTCCTCTTTTTCTCTCGGGGTATTTCATTTATCGTGCCTTACTAAGTGAAAAAACTAAATGCACCTATAAACGGGAACTCTACACATCAGATTTCGTGCTGGCTGTAATCGTTCTGATGGTTTTTCTGTATTCTTCAAGTGTGTTTTGCTCAGTTTATATTTGGAACAGCCGATAGTGGTTTAAGACAGACCTGGGGTGCCGTCTTAGAATATCTTTGAGAGCCTTTAAGGAAGTCCCATTCAGACATTTGTTTCTTTTTTCAAAATCTGCAGGTTCATGACATCTTCTACCCTTTTCTGCAAACAAAGGACGACGAGATCACGTTTATATGGGTTAACGAATCCAAAACGGGGTTCTGCCATCTGTACAAAATTACATCCATATTGCAGCCCGGGTGCTACCAGTGGTCACGAGACTACAGCCATACTGAAGGTAGGGTGGATTTTCGAGTCTGCATTGGGGGTCTCCTAGTTTAGAGGCTTGGAAGTCGACAGGTGTTCCTCTCGTTTGATCCAGTTCAGTTTTTGGACCGAGCTGGATGTAAGAAAAGAGAACAGCGATTTGGCTGTTCTTGTACATACTATTGCTGATAGCCTCTTGATTGTGGAGTCTTAACAAACACACGTCTTGTAGCATCACAGGGAGCTGGTTTCTGCAGAGAGCCTTGGTAATTTGCACCGTATTCTACTACAAATTATGTAACGAAGAGTCTCCTGTCCTCAATCACAGAAGTGCTTAAACTTCTCATCTCCTTCCAGTTCTTAGTGATGCACTCATCAGATCTCAGACAGTTTTTGTTTTGACCAATACAACTGATAATCTGGGATGAGGTTCTCTTCAGCATTGAAGCGTATTGATTCCAGTGGTACTCAGGGTGAAATTATGAAGAGATCTGTGGAGTGCTTTGCTAAAAATTCAAATTCGCTACATTAATCGGGGTCATTACTTTGCATTTTACAAAGGAAGGGAATTCCTTGTTTTTGTACCACAGGAGACTTTAAGTGCCCAATTAAGGAAGAAATTGCGCTAACGAGTGGGGAGTGGGAAGTCCTGGCCAGACATGGTTCAAAGGTAAAAAGATCATCAAAGATAATATCTTTTACAGTCTCTTCTCATGTTTGCAGTTCAGGGTGTTTTATTATTCAAATACCTGTTCCTATCCAGTGTAAGTGTTTGTGGTTTTGTTGACTCAGATCTGTGTAACAGTTTCTAGTACTACTTTTTGTGAAACCATGAGGGGTTCATAGTAAAGTAAGAAAGGTTTGTGGGCAAGTGCAATCAGTGTTTATGTGCAGAAATGAATGGTAATGTGGAGTGGGCTTTCGGTGATTGTGAAGGGAGTAAACTTACAGATTCTGTAAGTCGTGTGGATTCCTGTAGGTGTGGTCTGTAATGATGATGTATGACGATGTCTTTTATGTCATGTCACATTTATTTTTGATGTCATGTTTATTTGTGCTGTTCTACGTTTTTGTACTCTGGGTTTGCATCCAAAAACATAGCTGTTTGAATGCTAAACACATTTCTGAGAAATCGGGCCGAAACGTAGGAAGATCGTGTCATAGCGTAAGACTCTGCCCTTGTCGCGCAGATCTGGGTCAACGAAAGCACGAAGCTGGTGTATTTCCAGGCCACCAAGGATACCCCACTAGAACATCACCTCTATGTCGTCAGCCATGATTCTCCAGGCGAGATAGTCAGGCTCACCAAGCCTGGCTTCTCCCACAGCTGCTCCATGAGTCAGGTATGGCATTGGTGCTTGTCACGCTGGGGCACGGTACTTTCTCAGCACGGGTACTGCTGGCCTTGCAAGGCACGATGGCCTTGCAATGAATGTGAATAAACTGGAATTTCTATTGTCTGCTTTCGGATATGGATTGTGTGGTTGAATTTGTAATCATCTCAGGGGAAAAAAGAGCCTGTTCCCGTTGGGTTTGCTGGGTTTGTTTTATTTGTATGAGTTCATGCTTAAACAGCGTAATTGCTATCATTTCCTTCACCGATATGAAAGCTTTTTTTGTGCCGCAATGTGAATAGGTGGCTGATGTATATTAATAGATATACATGGGATGTGTGTACTTTTTCCAGCAAAACAATCTCTTTCACATGACTCAGTGCAGGTATTGCATATTCCAAGCGGCTGTTTTGGACGCTGTAATTGCACAAGGGTGTGCACAAGAAGGCAATTTCTTTGGCAAATAATAATTGACGCCTATGTCATCCTTATAGTTCACTCTGAACAAACAGAATGTGCAGTATGTGTGTTTAGAAGCTGATTTCTTTAAACATGCGTTAAACTTTAAACTTTGTCCTGGTGACCTTATCCTTTCTTCTCTGCCATGCAGAACTTTGACATGTTCGTCAGCCACTACAGTAACGTCAGCACGCCGCCCTGCGTTCATGTGTACAAGCTGGTTGGCTCCGACAGTGACCCCCTGCACAAGGAACCTGAATTCTGGGCCAGCATGATGGAGGCCACAGGTATGGTGATAGTCTGAAGACCGTCGCCTGCTGAACATCCTACTGAACATACCATGTTTAGTAAACATACCATGCTGATGAATTGAGTGGAACCTTTAGTACAACACGCCATCAAATTGCAGCTGGGGAAGTCATTTTGCAGTGCGCAGTGCTCTAAAACCCATTGATGAGACACAGAAAACTGAACCGGAGCAGCAGAGATATGCTTTCACTCAGCTTTGAGATACCTGTTCATGAAATCATAGGATAGTAAAAATCCCAGTAAGTGCTAAATACAAAACAATTATGTATCACAATGGGAAAAGGGTTTTCAGCTTTTAGGACAAATGACGGGCATATATATGGTTCTGTTTGTTTTAGGTTGTCCATCGGATTATATTCCTCCTGAAATTTTTGACTTCCCGGGAAAATCGGGGTTCCAGCTGTACGGGATGGTGTACAAACCCCACAACCTGCAACCTGGCAGAAAGCATCCCACCATCCTCTTTGTGTATGGGGGTCCCCAGGTTTGTTGCCTTGACCATAGCTGCTCAAAGCCTCAATCACTGCAACCTAAAATGACCACTCTTGTTAAGCCCAACTAATTTTATTTTGTGGTATCAAAGAGTAGCCACTGTATAGGTAAAAGGGCATTATAGTGTTCTGCTGTTTCAAAACGAGCATCACCCAAAATCTGCTTTAAAAAAATTGCCTCTTTTCCTGATAGCTGATGCAAACGTGCTGATGTGTTAAGGAGTGCTCCATTTCGGGCTAAGTGTTTTGTGTGTTAGCAATGCTTTTCCTAATATTGTCTGTACTCTGGTGACTTCTGCTTGTTTGCATGTGCGCAGGTCCAGCTCGTGAACAATTCTTTTAAAGGGGTGAAGTACCTGCGCCTCAACACCCTGGCCTCTCTGGGCTACGCAGTGGTGGTCATCGACGGCCGGGGCTCCTGTCAGAGGGGCCTCAAGTTTGAAGGGGCTCTCAAAAACAAAATGGCAAGTCTATAAAAAGTGATTTTCTTTTTCGAGTCTGTTCTTCCGGTCCAACAGAGGTGTGAGTGAGATGGGCAAACGTGGACTCGTTGGTTTGTCAGGACTTCTGTTTAGTCAGCTTAATGATGACATGTGATGTGTTAATGAGGCCAAGCTCCTGATATGAGTAGGCTCTCTGTCTGGGTTTCAAAGGTGGTTTATTTATAGAGGAGTGAACTAGCTTTTCTTTTTTCTGCAAAACCCTTCAGGCTGCTCTCCAAACGTTCACACTCTCCAGCTTTTACTTCACAAGAGCTTTCTGTTTTGAAGTCTTCTGTTTCCTGCTTCCTCCTCCAAGCTGCGCTCTTGGTAGGGGGTGAACTTCTGCGTTTGTAGGGCCTTTTAGTTTTCGGCCTCAATATTTTCAATCCCGGGACTGTTTCCAGGTCGTGTTGCTCGCTAAATCCAGAGCCCGTTTAACATGCAATTCAGTCTGGCCAATTGCCAATTGTGATGTTTTTGTGTTTACCAGCAGAAAGACAAAATGTGACGGGCAAATATGCTTTTCCACGGAGTGCTTGGAGACATACAGCACAAGTGTGCAGTGTTTCAAATGATGTTACAAGTGTCATACCTAATAACCCCTTATACTAAGCTCAGAGAGCAGGGAAGACCTTTTCATGAACTGACATCTGGACGAGATTGAGTGACCGCTAATTACCAAGTAAAGGAGGGTGGGCAGTTAGAATTCTGCTAGCAGCCCGTGCAGAATTTCAGCTGTGCGGCGGTCTGAGCTGGCTGACTCTTTTGTCCTTCTCCTTGCTAGGGCCAGGTGGAGATTGAGGACCAGGTGGAAGGGCTCCAGTATGTGGCCGAGAAGTTCAACTTTGTGGACCTGAGTCGTGTGGCCATCCATGGTTGGTCATACGGTGGCTTCCTGTCGCTCATGGGCCTCATTCATAGGCCCAACATCTTCAAGGTGAGTGGGGGGAGGGGTTTGAGGTTAGAATGTAGTGAATTCCAGGACAGCCTCTACACCATGTGTTCAGAGAGGAAGTGAAGATATACCTGTAGTAACTGCTGCTGGCCACAAGGTGTCACGTTTGTCTCACACTGGGTACAAGTAAATGGTTAGTGGACTTCTTGTTTAGGTATGACTGTGTCAGTCATAACACAAGTTTTACATATAACATTGCTGGCAATACAAAAACCTAGAAATTAATAATAATTAGCGCTATCTTCCAAATTTCTGAGTCCAGGTCCCAGGGGAGACTTGTATGTGGTAATAGATTGGAGGATCAGTAAGCTGAGATTCAATTAGGTGCTTTTTACCTGGATTTACTGCAGCTGTGGAAAAATGTACAGGAGAAGAAGTCCTATAAAAATGGTTTACAGGGCACTTGTGTACAGCTGTAATTTATAGAATGATACTGTAAAACTGCTGACTGACTAGAACTCCAGGGGAAGAAGACGCCACACAATGTGGACAGTAGGTTACCAACATAATCAGTAATGACAATGGGAACAATAAATATGTTGTGGGGTAATTTATATGTAGAAGTGAGAAAACATAGTGCAGATGTGTACTGAGGGTTTGCAGATGCCTGTTAGGATGCCTACTATAGTAGAGTAGAGCTGTTCTTGAGTCTAGTGCTCAGTGCTTTAATAGTGCGGCGCTGTTTGCCAGAGCGCAGGGGGGAGAAGAGTTTGTGGCCGGGATGGTTGGGATCCTGAATGATGGAGCGGGCTTTATTGCGACAGCAGGTGGTGTGAATCTCACTGATTGATCAATCAATTAATTGGTCAATTAATTGGTCGATTAATTGATCAGTCAATCACATCCTATAATCCTCTGTGCTGTTGCCACAGCCCTTTGGAGCGCTTCTATGTCACACATTGTAGTACTGCTGTACCACACAGTGATGCCATCGGTGAGGACAGTTTTCTATGGTGCTGCGGGAAAAGTTCATGAGGAGCTTCTTCCCCAAACCGCAGAAAGTGCAGACGCTGTTGTCTTTTTCAGACTGGCTGCAGTGTTGTGAGACCTGCGCATGTGTTACCTTGTGCGGATGTTGTGTTGCCGTGTAAATGCTGCTCAGTCATGCCCCCGCTGTGCCCTGCTCTGTGCCCAGGTGGCCATCGCCGGCGCCCCCGTGACGGTGTGGATGGCGTACGACACGGGCTACACCGAGCGCTACATGGACGTGCCCGAGAATAACCAGCAGGGCTACGAGGCGGGGTCGGTGGCACTGCACGTGGACAAGCTGCCCAATGAGTGAGTGAGGGCCTCCCGCTGGCGGGGTAGGGCTTGTCCATCCGCTCGGGCTGGGAGGGACACAGGGGTCCCACTTTTACACACGGCCAGCAGCCTGCACAGAGGAAGCAGGGGAAAGACCCCGCATCCCATGAGCGTGTCTTCCTTGGCAGGAGTATTGAAGGTACGGGGGTCCATGCAGGGAGCTGTGTCGGCGTGTGTTGGCTGTAAAGGAAAGAGTCACGTGCTGAAAAGAAAGCTACACTTGAAGAAGGCTTGACAGCCGGAATTTTGTGTTGGTCGTTCGAATTCTAAGCGTGGAATTAACCTTACCTTCAGGGAACATGAAAAGGATCTTGTTATGAAGTTTTACTTCCGCAGCTTGAAAAACCAATACAGTGAGTGGCTTGAGGCCGCATTTTCCCAGTCATGTCATCTTCATGGGTACCCCCTTTGACACCCCTGTTTTTGGTTTGGTCCCTCTGCTCTTCTTTGCTGTGGAACAGGGGAGCACTTAGTCGAATTGTAAATCAGAACTGAAAATCCTCCTCACAGTGACTGTGTCAGTGTCAAGCAATTTCAAATCAGCTGTTGATTTATCACACACCTTTTTACGTTTCCTACAGTAATGCATGTATTGCACTTTTCATAGGTTAGTCGCACAGTGCAGCACAATACAGATGAATGAATATACACAATCCAACTAACAAACAAAATACAGAATAAAATCAAGCAACATCATGTGCACACCAACAAGCTAAACTCATGTATTACATTATTATTATTCCTCCTGTAGCACAAAGTACTACTGTATGAAGCCATGTAGACTTATTTCAAAAGATCTTTTTTACATTGAGTCCAATTTTACTGATGAAGAGCCTTTCGATTTGTTGAGTTTTAGGGGTGCAGTGTTATGTTTTGACTAGTTTGTAATGAACTTTCCTTTCTAATTCCCCTGGCAGGCCCAATCGCTTACTGATCCTACACGGATTTCTTGACGAGAATGTGCACTTTTTCCACACCAACTTCCTGGTGTCCCAACTGATCCGTGCTGGAAAGCCATATCAACTGCAGGTCAGGAAGCACCTCCTTTCCTTTCTTTCCTGCTTTTAGGTTTTGCTGCTCATCATGACTCCTCAGAAATTACGGGTGTAGAAAATGACATACATTCACTTCTACATGGGCCTACGTGTTTTCCCAATGCACTGAATTGACTGTGACTGGATTATATAGCACCTTTCGTCACAAAGGATCCCAGAGTGCTTTACATTTAGGAGGAGATTTGCTTTATTCACTGAAGTGCAGCCCCACCTGGGCGAGACACAGCCGCCATTCTGTACCAGCGGCTCCTCTGTACTGCAGATCAGATGGAGGAGTGAGAAACTGCTTCACCAGTTGCACGAGGAGGAAGCCAGGTTGTGCTAAAGCTTTTTAACCCAGACACTGGGGTTAACATCCCTACTCTTACGCTCAGTGCCGTGAGATCATGAGGCGGGTAATTCTCGTGTTCAGGTTGGTTACCCTCTTACATGACTGCTCCTCCCCATCCTGGGATTTTCCGGTCTTGAATGTGGTCGGATTCTGTATCAGACACATAGCACCCCTTCTGGGTCTCCCGTGGCCCAAGACAAATGGGGTGGGGTCTGGCCTGGCTGTCCTTCCTTTTTCAAGTGACCGAGTGCCAAGAGAGCCTTCATTTTCAAATGGGGCGCTTTTGGGGTCACTCAACTCTCTGGTCCCTGATGCCCATCCAAAAAAATGAATGAAACTGGCTCGTTCCAACTTTTTTCTATTTTTCTAGGAGGGGTGTGGGGGGCATCTACCCATAGCAGCTAAGCTATACGTGCCCACTTTTTTTTTTGGTTAAACAAACAGAGCCTTCTGACGTCTTGCTGTCCTTTACTTTCACGCAGATCTATCCCAACGAGCGACACAGCATCCGATGCCCAGAATCAGGCGAGCACTACGAGATCATGCTGCTGCACTTTTTACAGCAATACCTCTGAGAGCGGACTCTGTTGGGGCTGGTACCTCCTCATCCTGCAATTCACCCATCACGCCTCACACCCCCCCCCTTACACAACCCCCTCCCCCGCCCCAAGGTGTGAGAAATCCTCTCCGAGAGGGTGTACCCCACTTCGCGGCCCGTCTTTCCTCATCCTGGAGGACAGCGGGCGTTGTTTTGGTCTTTTTTTCGAAGCAATCCAAATGGAAACAGGAGGCCACACACCCCCCCCCACCCCGACTTCGGGAGAAAAAAAAAAGAACAAAAATTTGCCGTGCTGTAAAAGAAAATACACTTCCGAATGGAATCGATAGCTTGCAAGTAACTTATAATTATTTTATTTTGGTGTTGTGCCACATCCAACTCTTTTCAGATTTTTTTTAAAATCCCAACAGGGATGGAGGTGATCATTTTGCCAAATTTCCTCCCCCCCCTCCTCCTCTCAGTCCAGTCAGTGGCTTACAGCTGTCGCCTACTAAAATGATTTTGCCTCACACAACCCCTCAGACTGACATTCACGTCCTCCATTGTTGTTTTCCTCCGTACATGTGTCTCATTTTAATTTTTTTTTTCGTTTGGATTTTTATTTTGAAACCTGCAGCAAACCATCAAGGACAGGCAAGGTCTCGCCCCCCCCCGCAATCTGAACTTTGCGCCTCGAAAAAAGTGTGCAAAGAGGGGGCGGAGCCATCCACTACTACCTGCACCCAGTATTTTAAGTGTGTATTATTAAAGAAAATATTTTTATGGATTCTTATTCTTTTATAATGAGTGTAAAGTGTAGTAACTCATTAAAATATTACGATCTCTCAGTGTCGTCTTCTCCCTTTCGCCTGCTTGAAACCACTTTTGGCTCCTGCCTGTACCGAGTCCAGCGCTTGTGCTGGTGTGTGTGTTTGCGTACACCGTCTTCTGCAGACAAAACCTTCAGACTTGCATTGCGAACGTACAACCCCACAGTTTAATGGCCGTTTGTTGGGAGCTCAGGATTCCTCGTCTGAAACGCGATCGTGGCGTGGAAAGAATAGTTCAGACAGGCAGATCCTGATCCCTACTTTAAAATCCCTGCCGAGGTCGGCACTTGTACACCTTGGGATTCCCCCTCATTGGGAATCCTGAACTGGAATCGCCACTCCCTGCTTGAGGCTCGGCGCTTAGTTTCAGGGCTCTTGTGAGAAGAAACGGGAGTAACCCCTCAAGGTGAAACAGCTGGCCATAGGGAGCTGTGAGAAGATCCCGCTGTTGCTGAATCCTGTGCATCCAGAATCCTGTTTTTTTACAGGAGGACGATTTTATCAAAGTGCCAAAGGTAGGTTGTGAAATGTAACAGGTGAGCTGTCGTCCCTCAGGGTAGGCTGTTTCTCTGCTGGAAGGAGAGCTCTGCAGTGGCGGAGGCGAGATTTACTGTCCTGAAGAGGCCTGAAGATCCCTGCTTAAAACATTCCTCCAGGAGCCACCTTCATCACGCTTGAAGTAAGCCATGCTTGGAATGGGGTATGGGTGAGGGACAGAAGGACTGGGTAATCAAAATCGCAATGTACTCCGAAGCAAAAGTAGAAATCGCAACGACAACCATGGCTAAATTCTTATGTTCCTACAAAACAATGTACATTTTGGTTTGTTTCATCTGCACATCCTTCCTTTTGATTGGCTCTGAGGATTTGAGTCCAATGGACTTGTTTCTGTTTGAAAACCCACTGCAATGCCAGATGTCTTTCAATCACACTGTAAGATACCAGTGTGGCCCAAATCTATTTTTTTAGATTTATGACATTGTGTTTGTTACCTTGAGGTTAAAATTCTAGTAACTTACCGTAGTCCTGCTCAGTGTGTATTCCAACTCAGTACTTTTCCAAGGCCGACAAAGTGGTTTTAGACTTAAGCACATAAAGCGATTTATTTATGGGGTGTTAAAATCTTAATCCTAATGAAGACAAGCAGCACCAGCTTCTTCTAAGTCAAATAAGCCTTTAATTTCATTAAAACTCCAAAACTGGGCTGCACTGTGCAGACTGTGTGAGCTTGTTGCTCACGTTTGCAGTTAAAAATCCTTGTGTGAACTGGTGTGGTATTGAATTGGATCATCTATCTTTCACTTTTTAGGTTTGAATTAAAATGACTTAGAATAATACATCTTAACAGGAGGCATGCTTAAACAATCTCACACCAAAACAAGGGGCATATTAACATTCTCACATGGCCCGCTTGTATTTATTATGTCTAGCTCTATAGTTTTATTGTGCTTCTACAGAAATCAGAGATTTGAGTTTTTTGATGGACTTGATCTGGAGACAAAAAGTGAAACAAAGTTGGGATGGAGCTTGAAGCTTTTGTCATGTCATGGAATGTGGTGGAAGCCCAGTCACCAGTTTCTCATTAGTCCTTCAGTGCTACACTGAACTGGAAGGAAATATAGCTCAATATAGCCCATTTAGCTCAAATCCCGTTCTTGGAACAGATGGGAAAGACATGTTTTAATTATCCACCTACTGTACAACTCTTGTTTCCTACTACACCAAAACTTTAGAACTCCATACCACAGATGCCGTAGGTCAGAAATTAGATTATTTCACTTATTCATTTCAAAATATAATTCTGGACATTTTGAAACAGTTCACTCTGTACTCTAGGACATTTAAAACTCATAATCATATCTACCTAAGTGCCCCCAATATAGTCGGATTTATAGTCGGGAAAGAAATCCCGGTGATGTTTTACTTTCACTGCATAGGCCTGAGGTTCACCTGGGATCCTGTGAACACCTGTGCTTTTCAGAATGCCTGAGGGGATAGCTCTGTTGTGTTTCAGGAATATTTTTAGACTCCCATTACAACTGTTTTGCACAGACTTGGTTTTGGGGCACAGTGGAACAAGCCTGTGCACAGAGAGCAAAATTCCTGTTTGTCATGTGCCAGCGTGGATAGATCTCTTCTGGTTTTTCATGGGTCTCGTTCAATCTGCAAAATTGGTGCGTCCACCTTGTGCGAGAGCTGCTTTGACAAAAGAAATAGCCCCTCTGAAAATAGTGTCTCATGTTTTTATTTCTTAGGCACAGGTTTTATGACTTGAGACTAGAGGTGCAAGCCAGGGGAATTCTTATTTCATAGTTTTCAGGAGTGGTATAGGCACTTCTTTTAAATCATCTAGATAAAAATCTGGTAGACATCTGTTAATGTTATTGCTCACATTCATGTGCCCTGATGCTCTTTTTAAACATGATATGGATTATGTGTAATTAATTAAGAAGCAGAAGGAAATCTTTCAGGAAATATGCTGTTATTGAGGAGCATTTAAAATCCAGTCTCTCTTAACAGGTTATTTCATTTAGAGATCCACCTTGCTTTTCAAATCCATATTTATACAATACACTTTTTATTAAACGTTTTGTATCAT